AATACATATGTACATACATTATCAATTGGAAAATAGAGGTAAGGACATACACACACACACACACACACACACACACACAAAACAAACACATAAATACACACACATATGTATATAAATATATATATATATATAATATTATTATTAATTACCGTTTCGAGTTATTGAAAACACGTTGTTCAACGTTATACTGGCATTTTCATCCCATACAAATACCAATATTTCTAGAAAATGTTTAACTGTTCCCGCATATGTATATATATAAAATATATATATATATATATATATATATCCACTGTATATGTACACATGTATAAGATAATTATCTCTAACGGCGTATATTAAAAAACATGTTAGCATCATAATCGTCTTGTTATTCCTAATACGTCCTTGTTATTTTCTACCGCTAAACTTTATGAGAACCGACGCTCTTGTAAGCAGACGAACGAGCACAGGTAATACGAACGAGAGAAGTTATTTTAATATTAGGATGTTTGTTTGTTTTAGCATGCTGAAGGATTTTTTTTTTGACCTGTTGTTTTTTTTTGTTTTGTCATTAATTTTCTTATCTTTTCGATCGTACGTCTAATTTTCGAAGACGATTCACTTTGGTTTGGTTTATAACGCTGCTGTCTAGCGGCGTGCCTGCCTTTGTGAGGTTAATTATTGCAGTTGCCTAATATGTTTTTTTTATTTTTTGTAAAAAATTTTTGCTGTTAACATGATGCGTTGAATTATTTTACAGAAAATTTTAAAATTTTTCTGAAAAGTTTTGAAGGATATTGTTGATATTGTTGGAGTAATTAGCTTGAAACTGCAGAAGATTTTCACGATATAGAAGTAAAAATTATCATCCATTTGTGTTCATAAGTGCAGCTCTTAATAGAAGCACCACCGATAATCTAAAAACACGACTTTCAAACAAAACGAAGACTTCTTAAATTTTGTTGTGCTGTTTATACTGACAACCTACATCCATTTAGGTTAGCGGTCGTTTTTAATATTTGATGCCAGGGCTGAATGGTTGAAAATCATCAGTACAACAACATCAACATAAACATTTAAGAACAGAAAGGCAACATTCACCATCATCAACATCATCGTTATCCAACATCCTCTTCAGCAGCATCCAACACAGACATCCTCTTCAGCAGCATTGAAGATGAGCGGCTACCCGCCCCTCCACAGACAAACGAGCCTCGACAGATCCAGATCACGACAACGTCGCATTCCAAGTTACAACTCAAACTCCGAACTCGACGAGATCTACAGGCTGAGAATTGATGAAGCTTATTACTTGAAGTGCATGAGGGAAATTTTGCAAGATGGCTGCCAGCCACGACCTCCATTCCCCTGTTCGATGACACGCATCGCCCAGCACGTCTACATCGGCAATCAGAGGAACGCAGACGATTTGGAGGAACTCTACACAACGGGCATCACCCACGTCATCAACTGCGCCCCCTCTCGACTGAGAAGGGCATCAAGAACCGAATCGCCCTATCCCCCGAAAAGTGGGGTCGTTGGATTTAAGGTTATTCCAGCCGAAGATAAAGAAGAGTATAACATTGAGAAACATTTCGAAGAGGCTCTCGAGTTTCTGGAGCAAGTGAAGCATGGAGGTGGGCGAGCACTCGTTCATTGTAACATGGGAGTCAATCGAAGTGGAGCCATCATAGCTGCTTATATAATGGCCAGTGAACGTCGCTGTCTTCTAGAGGTCATCAAATATTTAAAGTCCAAACGAAGTCTCATACTGACGAACAAAGGATTCAGACGCCAACTGATTAGGTACGCCAAGTTGAAATGTCTTCTCGACCCCATCGACGACTCTGAAAAGAACGAAAACAGCTCAGAATACCGCCGACGCCGAGCGAACGCTTTCTCAACCCCTCAACTTAAAAGGGTGGCACTCAAAGATGTCAACCAGCGACCAAGATCTCGAGAAAAAATTTATTACGATGGGAATGATGATCAAAACGTTTCTATCTGGTCAAAAAATGACGATTCTGATGTTAAACTATCAAATCCTTTCCGTGCTTTCATCTCTTCTAATCCTAAATCTTTTGATGGTCTCATCAGTAAAAACGATAAAAATGAATTCATCGTAAAGTCGTTACCGAGAAATATATCGAGATTAAGCCGCAACACTCAACAAAGTCACCCACCTTCAATTCCGAACACGACAACATCTTACTCGCGAAGAAGTTTGAGTCATCTGGTGACAGAAAGAGATGGTAGCTGTGCCGATGAATTTACACCAACAACAAATACAAATTACACCAGAAAGTCAATAGCGTACATCACTCCAACAACTCAATATGCAGAGCATCTGGTTGATTTCAAGGGCAATAAAACAAATGAATTGTTCAACGACCATCCCGCCACATCATTTCAAGCTAATAACGTCAATCTTAATGAAAGGTCCTGCAACAAATCAAACAACAATTTTTCATCGTCCGTCAACTTGACCATCAACCATCCACACGTTAATAACTACTTTGAAACAAACGATTCCAACCAAAGAACTGATGCCATTTCTCATCGAACTCCTTGGAAACCTACGCAAGAATCATCCCACAGTCAGGCCACATTTACAAATCCATTTTCCGTTCCAAGACATACTGAATCAATGAACATGGAGCCAAAAATTCTCAAAAAATCTCCTGAAAGTCGTTACTGCAAACAAATTAAACAGCATTTCAATGATTTTCTTAATTTAATTCGACCAAACACAAACAGATCAGACAATAACGCATGGGCTAGTGCACAAGCAAGTCCTGAGCCAAAAACAGGAAGTAATTTTTCAGCTAGACCGATTTTTATCAAAAAAGTTGAAATCAAACCCATTGTTCATAAAGATTCCAGCGTGCACTATCATAGTCATTTATCGGCAAAAGATCAGCAACAGCAACCGACCAGTACAACACAGATGCAGCACATGAAGATATCCAGTCATCACAATCGAGTATCCAACGAAGGAAATGGAATGACCAACCACTTAGAAGATGAAATGACCAATCAGTTATCAATCAGCCAGCCTGAAAATGAAACGAAATCGTTTACCAACGTAAATTTTTCACTGCATCCACCCACGAGTTCCCAGAATTTAAGGAAAAACAGTGCCTATCCATTCCGTCCCAGCACTTCGTCTGATGCAGAAAACGATCGATCCCACACGCACCGTCGACCGATTGTCGGAGGTTCGTTAATATTCGTCGGCTCAAGACCATCTCAAAATATTCCCGAACCGACTCGGATAGCGAATATAACCATCATAGACAACATGAAGAAACCTGCCCCACGAAAGATACGCGCATACTTTCGTTCGAAAACGGATAGTGAAATTTTTTAAATGATGATCTAACTATTCCATTCTGTTTCTATTTTATTATTTATTTTATATTTGCTAACAAATTATACGGCAAATAAAGGAAGATTCAACAATACAGTTCATTTCAATCGTTTCAAAATCTGTTAAAAACATTTGCAAACCTACAGCAATGCTATCGCATAACCGACGATACCATGTATCTTAATCTCATTAGGATTTTTAATCAATCATCCATATATCTTATTAAATATATATAAATAAATAAATATATTTATAAAGCTTACATACTTCTTTCATACATAAATAGGTAAATGAACGTACTATCCGCATTGAACATTAATTTTTGCAATTTCGCATAGCCACTTGCATAAAACACACAATTGGAAACACATACAAACGCACACGTACACACACAGACAGACACACATGTATACTTATATTTATGTATACAAATATACAAGTCATTCTGACAAATTTTCTCTTATAAATCCATGAAAATATTTTTGCAGACTAGAAAATTGAAGTTTGTAGTTCGTGAAAAAATATAGAAAACTTCAAATGAAATTTTCAAAGTTCACTTTTAAAAAAATAAAATTTCATTAGCAATAAAGGCACATAAAACATTGAACATAGCCTATGGCATATTACTTCATGGCTATTTAATACGTTCTAAATAATTAATAACCTTTATAATTAATAAATAATTATAAAACATTTTACCCAAAAAATAAAATATGAACGCGTAGATTCACACTTTAAACATTAAAACACCGTATTAACAACGGTGGTAGTGGTGGTGGAAATGTTTGAAAACTGCTAAAAAAATCGAGGAGAAAATATGAAATTACACAATCTTTGGTTACTTTAAACATCGACGCACGAACAGACACACTTCTTGACAGCATCCCTGTAAAACGATTAAGTTGGAAGAATGGTCAGTGAAAGTTATGAGTTCAGGAAAGATATTTATGATATCGCACTCATCTTTCAATCACCATCCTCATCATAGGCATCGTTTTAAAGTCATTTAATCATTCAATTATTAATTCACTCATTTACTAGTCCATTCCTTTATTTGCTCATTCACTCACTCACTTACTCACTCACTCAATAATTAAACCAACCAACCAACCAGTCAATGGATCGATTATTTAATCGTTCATTCAATCAACCAACCATCCAACTGATTGATAAAAAACTTTAAACCTGGCATATGGAATGTAAGTAAGACTGTACCATGCCATGGCTAAAAACTGAAGACAGCAGAACAAAACAGCTAATACCGTCTTTTTCCACTTAGAAAAAAAATTTATCAAAAAAATTAATTAATTAATTTATTTATTTAATGTAATGTGACAATTAATTAATTAATATCTGAATAATGTTAATTAAAATAATTAAAATAAATTTATAAAAATAGAAAATAATACTAACAAGCAAGCCGGATAATAACGTAAGCACCAGGAATAACTAAAAAATAATATGAATAATAACTAATGAAAATCAATTTATTATTTATTAATATTATGATAATAATTAATAAATTTATTTATTTATACATTTATTTATTTAATTATTATTCTAATTATTATTTTAATACAATCTAAAAATTACAAAAAAAAAACTGAACTTACGAGGAACATCATGGTGGCGATGATTCTCGTCTCAGCAAACATTTTCTTCAACTGATTCAATGGCCCCATTAGAAAACATGTACTGATCAGAAAAAATATTTAAATATAATAAGCACATAACAATATAATATAAATAATGACATAATAATATAATAACCATAACCATAATAATACAAATAATTCAAATCTGAGTTTACATCTTGTAGAAAAATAAATTTTCAATTACATTACAATCCAGTCTAGTTAATTACAGACTGACCTAACTTAGTCTTAATGATTAGAATAATGTGGCTATTTATAGAACGACCTACCTTGAAAGTGCCATGATGTTACCGATGGAATAAAAGACAGCAAATAGTCGAATGCCCACATTGCTAGGTATCGCCAGGAAGAATGTTCCCTGTTAGAGGAATTTAGGTTTTAGATAGGTTATTATTTTGTGAAATTCTTTTTAAATTTTTTCAACTTTAAAACAAATATTCAAAGCAAAATAAATTAATAATTAATTTTATATAAAAAGAAAAGAAACAAAACGACAACTAGCCAATAAAGAGCAGATGACACCAGCAATCATGCAGATGAGGAATCCTTTGATGCGAGTCGACCAGCTGAAAGTTGTTGCATTTGATATCTGGAAATGTCATTAAATGTTAATTAAAACTGCGCAAAAAGAGAAAAAATTTAACCAAATAAAATATAAAGTATAAATTAATTCAATTCTATAATGTAAAAGAATAAAAATTTTATCATGACATTTGACTGGACTGACATGACTTAAAAATAAAAGATATTAAGAGTAAGTATGACATTAAAATAAAGTCGTGACTCATGAGATTAAAATTAAATTAATTAAGTCATTAATTAATCTATTAATAAATAAAATAAAATAAATAGTTGAATAAAAAAAATTAATAACTGATTACTGATTACACAATCCTCCCTAGGACAACCAATTGATCATAACTAGCGATCGTAAAATTTAAAATTAAAGGAAAAATTAAAACTAGGGCCTAAAAAACATTAAAAATTATTTTAAGGAATTAACTAATTTTTAATTAAAATAAAAAAAGCCCGCCTACCCCTACCCTACCTCAGTTATAATTCCAGTTTCATCATTGGTGTCTTCCTGACCGCCGAGAGAACGACGAATTTTGTCCATTTTTAAAAATGTTTAATCAAAAATTTATAATTTAATTAAATCAATATTATCCAATCATGCAGTGCGCCGTAAGCCGGATCGATCAACTTTTAAGCCGCAGAAACAACACTTTCAAACGTAAACAATAACAAACGTTTAAAAGTGAATTATTATAGAAAGTCTAAAAAAAATTAAATTTATAATTGAAGCTATACCAGTTGACAAACACAATAAACCAACATGGATTACCGTCGCTATCATCTGAATTCTTACGCAGTATCATTGACACATATCACTATCAATATCATTGTTTCTGTTACATTTATTTGCCAAAAAAAGATCTTCCAAAAAGAACTCTATAAAAAAAACAAACAATTTAACAGTTAATTAACGAATTAATTAAATATTATGAAGCCATAATGTGATAGAATGTATTGTAATTAATTTAAATGTAATATAATGAATGGTATTGTATTGTAATTCGATGTAAAATTACGTTAAACATGGCAGACTTTTTTCTTAATGACGAGATATAAAGATCCTAAATTGAAAGAAAGGTAAAAAAAACAAATCAAACACCAAACATCATCACCAACATCACCACCAATAACAACAACAACATCAATAATGATGATAACAACAAGAATAATAAATAACAAGAATGACAATAGCAACAAGCTGACAGATTGAAACTATCGTAAAAAAATTGATTTAAACTTCCAAAAACAACAAGGGTGCAACCATACTCGCCATTCAGTCAATCAACCAATCAACCAATCAATCAGTCAACCAATCAATCAGTCAACCAATCAATCAGTCAACCAATCAATCAGTCAACCAATCAATCAGACAACCAATCAATCAGTCAACCAATTAATCAACCAACCAACCAATCAATCAATCAACCCATCAATCAATCAACAAACCAGCCAATCAATCTAAAACTCGAATACGTATACAACATAACAATGATAGTTAATATTGCTAAAACCGACATTAATATTATCAAACATTTTAAGAGAATAATAAAAAGCAATAAAAACAAACTAATTACAGGTACTAATTAATCTGATATCACAAATAAATGAATAAAATAAATGAAAAAACAAGATAAAATCATATTAACTAACTAAACCAAGTTAATAAAATGAAACCAATCGTAATCAGGTATTTGCACTCTTTAACTGTTTTACCGCTGCGTGTAGAGACTACTGAAAGAGAGAGGGAGAGAGAGAGAGAGGGAGAGAGAGAGAGAGAGAGAGAGAGACGTCACATCGATTAACAGTACACGCAGGCAAACAGACAGACAAACACATTAACAGTTTGAGTTGATATTTTAAGAAGGTAATGCAAAATGATAACAAAATAATTAATGCCATCAAGTTTATTTCATCCCTATAACAATTTATTAATTATTCTATACTTCATTTAATTCATCCATTAATTCGTTCGTTCATCCATCCATCCATTTAAATTATATATTTATTTTTTCATTCAGGTCTTCAACAATTCAATAAAAGACTAAACTACAGAATTAGGAGCTAGGATTTAGATAAGAATAAGAAGCCATAGAAACTGATAGATGGGGTAAAAAATAACCACCACAGTACACGCACGCACGCACGCACTTACTCACGCACATACACGCTCACACACACCTTCACGCACGTGCATTATATAGAAACACGCACGTCTGAATAGTAATAACGTAATAAATAGTGTATGCCATGAACGTATGCATCCTATGGTCTTTAATACGTATGACGATGTGATTGATAGTGGTGACGATAAACAGACCCATCCCAAAGGTTAGAATCTTGCAGAGATGTTGAAAAATTTGTGACGGAGACGATGCCAGTAGTGATGATGTTGATAAAATGATATATTATGTTAATGATGATAAAGGTGAGACGATGAGAAGAGAGATGATGACGCCAGTGGTGAGGGTGATGATGAAGTGCGAAACAGAGCATTCCTATCCAAAATCATGCTACTGAATTCTTAACATATCCTTTGATCTATAATTATCATCAGCCAAAACACTTATTGCACGCATACACACACACACACATATAAATATAAACAAAAAATAGAAAGAGAGAGTTGGAGAGAGAGTTGGAGAGAAAAAGAGAGTAAAAAGAGAGAGAAAAAAAAGAGAGAGAGAGAGAGAGTTGGAGAGAGATTACCTACCAGTGAAAAAAAAACAGAGAGAAAGAAAAGAAGAAATAACCAATGGTAGAGTAAGATAAAGAAAGACAACCTTATCGGTCGGTGAGAGAGAGAGAGAGAGAGAGAAAGAGATAGAGTGACAAAATAAATTATGATAAACGCACAGAAACGAACAACGTCCACACTACTTGACAGCTTATGAATGAATGAATGAATGAATGAATGAATGAAAGTGTTTCGTTCATTTGACAAAAATTGCTTACCGATAATAATAAACTTGATCATCGTCATCATCATTATTAATATCATCATTATAGTCATCATCACTGCCACCATCACACATACTATGATTATCATTATCATCATCATCATCGACATCATCGTCGTCGTCCTCTTCATCATTCTTAATCCAAATACACACGCTTGATGAGAATTTTAAAAATAATATTATTGGCATTATCACAACAGTAACAACGGCAACAACAACAACAACAATAATAATAATAATAACAACAACAACAATAATAATTACAGAAATAATAATAACAATAATAATAATAATAACAACAATGTGTAATAAAATTTATACATGGTCACTAAACACATAAGGCCCAACTTCAACACACATTCATCTCCTCAAGCTATAATAATAATAATAATAATAATAAACAATAATAATAACCACGACGACAATAATGGTAGTAATTACAATTACGAAATGAATGAACTGTGGTAATGTTAAGTGATTTGGAAAAATTTAACTTGCAGACAGACCTGTGTGTGCACATTTAATTGAAGAGTAAATGTCGGCTTTAATCTTGAAAATAATTACAATAATAATCATTATTATTATTACTCTTATTATATATATATATATATATATATATATATATATATATATATATATATATATATATGTGTGTGTGTGTGTGTGTGGGTGTGTGTGCGCCCACGCGCGCATTGTTTAATATTGGCTTGAGGTATCTTATTTAGAGGATAATTAAGATTTCTGAAACTATTTTCATTTAATTTATACGAAAAAGCATTAATTAATTAAGATATATTGAACGAACAGACAAGCCCCAAATCAAATGGAAAAAAAACCAGCAAATTCGTATCTAAGATTTTTAATAGGCATTATTAAAATACTTCTATTTATTATTAATATCATATCATAATAAAATAATTAATTAAATAATTAAACAATTAAACAATTAAACATACAAACTAACTTCGACAACAAAGCGATGCATATCTTAGCTAAACAATCATGATGATGATGATGACGGTAAATAAAGAAAAATAAATAAATGAATACAAATTAGGGAGAAAAAAAAACACGAACTAAACACAGATCTAAACTATCATGGATGTTACGTAACATTTTAAAGGAAAAAAATGAAAAGAATTTTCAGACGTTAACCAAACAATGAGAGTCCATAACAAACAAACATCACATCTCTTTGATACTAACAACAAAAAATGAATGAATGAATGAATGATTGATTGAATGATTGATTGAATGATCGATCGATTAATTGATTGATTGATTGAAGGAGAGAAAAAATGAAAATAAGAATGAAGAACGAATTCTAACAAAAATCATATCATAAAAGCATCTCGCCTCTATAAATTTAACATTCAAAAATAAACGACTACAACTCAAGAAACATTGTGGAAATAATCAAGTATATAAAACCTGGATGCAGTCACATTTATAAGATTATAAGACCAGATGGACTCCTTATAATTAATTACAATGATTAATAATAATTATCATTATATTTATTTATTACTCCACTGTCTTTCTCTTCACCCAACTTTCTCAAACATACACACACACACACACACACACACACACACACACACACACACACACACACACACACACACACACACACACACACACACACACACACATATATATATATATATATATATAGATATATAAAACAACTTTTTGAAACGGGCATTTACAAATTATAGGAATCCAGCAACTTCTTCCTTTCCGTTTCCTTGTTTTGAAGTACAAAAAGGCAGGCCTGACATCACCATTACGTCACATTATTATTGATTCATCACGTATTCCCTCATCAGACTATAATATGAAAAAAAAAACACAGCGCTAAGGTTCAATCGCATTCATAATGGTTGCGCAACGCACCGGTAAAACCCTCTGAAGTTCATTTTAAAACGTCATACGGTAGGTTTATGCTTGGGACGGCAGAAACCGCAGCCCACGGCGCAGTTATGCGACGACTTCAAGACTGGATAGCACCAGAGGCATGGTACGAACAAGCAGACGAGTGCATATATCAGATTTTTTTTGCATCTCTCATCACTGCCTCCTCCCTGCTCGTTGCCATCGTCGCCGTCGTTCGGCCTGGCACAATGGTATATGGCAGTCTCCGCACAACAGAAGCACGTAACTTTCTTGATGCAGTTTATGTATTTGTTAGGCGCGTCCCGACATATCGTTCCGCTAAAATCTTTACTGCTAAAATATTCCTGGCAATAATAGCACTTGGTTTTTGCTGAGGGCGTGTGAGGGGGAACGTTTGAAGTATCAAAAGTCAACATCATGCTGGAAGATGTGGCCCTCGTGAACTTTGACCTGAAGACCGTAGTACTCCTCGGCTTTCCCTTTGATTTTGACCTCTTTGGCAGGAGAACGTGTGGTGATGAATGTCGCTGCGGTGACGAGGATAGAGATGATGAGGTGTTGCCCATAGATCTGGAGGCAAGAGGAGGTTTGGTTGTGGAGGATATTCGAGGGTTCGAGTGGGCCCGACCCCAGCCCGGTTGGTTGTGCTGCACGGAGAACAATGATGGGTAACTGTAGTCGTGTTTGGTCGTTGCTGTGCATGGATTGTTCTTGGTGAAGTGAACATAGGACTCACCTGCAGATAATGTGGACCCTCTTCTAAATGTTGATTCAATCATTACTGATTCATCAGTTGTCATGAAGTTGGGATTGGGTGTTGTAGATATTTGTTGTTGGTCGTTGCTTGTGTAGCAGAAGTTACTGAGCTTCTGTTCAACTTGTTGGTGTCGTTGTTGTGGCGAAGGTATGTACTCGTTGGCGATGGTAGATGTTTTTGATGTGACGGCCACGAGAGGAGAGGAGAATGGAATCGTTGATGTCGCGATTGATGCCGCGGTTGATGTAGCTGATGATGATGGTAGTAATGACGGTACCTGTATTGCTGAGATGGATGCGAGCGTCTCAAGATGATATGGCAGATGTGCTGGATGCCTGTAAGAGGACAGCGTAGCACCTCCTTGCACCAAGACATCACGATGAACATCCGCTGCAACTTGATATGACGACGGAGGAACGGGTGGATTATTGCAGGGTTGACGTCGACCGTGGGGCACCCGAGATGGCGCTATCGGTGGCGAAGATGACGACGACGACGAAACATTGAAATTTGTCGGTGAAGATGGTGGTGTGATGGCCCGCGGTTTGATTGGATGCGACAACACAGTGGTTTGTAGGCGTGGGGGTGGAACTATTTGTTGTGGCTGCAGTTTTAGTACTTGGGATACATGTTGCGACAATCGTTGATTTGATAGCAGCTGCTGCTGCCGATGCTGTGGCTGCTTATGTTGAAGTAGTTGTTGTTGATATGGACGCTTTCTTAATATATCAAAGTTTTTATCCTGAGATGATGAAAAATCTTTTGACAGTCCACTTTGGGTTTTTTCAAAATTCTTATTAATAGAGCTGATGTGACCTTCAGTAAAGGATGGCTGTCAAGTGGATGGTGAGGTCAATTATTATAATGACTTTCATTCAGATTTGTATAAACATAATTTAATAATTAAACTCGATTTAAATAAAACATATAAAGAAGGATAGACAAATAAATAAATAAATAAAAAAAACCTACTTTCATCAAGTGCCTAACATCTTCAACACCTGTTAATAGGACATGTCAAGCCATTCATTCATCATTCATGTAAGAAACACACAAAAACAAACACACAAACACAAACGCAGAAACACGCACATAATTGAATAAAAAAGAATTCTTTTGTATTTCTTATCATAATTTTATGATTATTTTATCATCATCATCATCGTCGTCGTCGTCGTCGTCATGTCTGTGCAATAAATTTCTGTTAAGTTCAATTGACTGACAATAAGGTCTGTTGAGCATACTTATTTAGTATCAATAATATTGTATATCATAATTATCATCACTATACTATTATTATCATTGCCTTTGTTATCATCATCATATTATACGTCATCATCATCTTCGTCATTATCATCTTCATCATTGCAGAAGCTAATATTGCAGTTTTCATTATTATTAATTAATTTATTTAATCAACATCACAGGCAACAAATACATCACCATACACCAATTAAAATTAGAAAAATCTTCATACTTGATTGTCATTTTCATCACTATCATCGTCAACCATTTCAACCATCATCATTATAACCATTATAAAAATCATCATCATTATAAACATAATCATCATTATCATCATTATAAACATCATCATCATTATAAACCTCACCACAATCATCATCATCATCATCCTATTCACCCCCAACCTTTTCTCAGAAGATCATCGTGTAATTTGAGATGAGCCAGGGCTCGGAGCACAGCCTCTTTAAATAGGATGGCCTCTGAAGAGGACTGAAATGTCAGCCCAAATTTTTGACCATCCACCACCCAGTGATGTAACATGCTGTTGTTCGCACACTGATAGTCCAGGTCTTTGGTTAGGTTACAGTTTAGTAACATCTGTATATGTGTGAGTATGTGCGTGCGTGTGCGTGCGTGAGAGTGTGTGCGTGCGTGTGTGTGAGAGTAAGTGTGGATTTGTACGTGCGTGCGTGAGTGTGTGTGAAATCAGTGTTTTCGCTGGGATATGTTTTCAAAGAAAAAGGCATGCAAACAGATATATAACTGTATTAAATTTCAAGAGTGCTGTTGTGTTTGTGTTGATAAGTTAATGAGATGTAACATTTAGTCATAATACCATTTAAGATAAAATAGAATGCATCAAGATAAACTATTTCTTTTGAAACATTCAGACCCAGTGTAAAGTAAGAAAAAAACCTTTAAATAATTAAATCAACCTAACAAAACAGACAGACAGACAGACAGACAGATAAACAAACAAACAAAATCGCTAACAGCGCTGTCAACAATTCTGTAGGCCTGGATGCTGTAGGAGTCATCTTTAGACAGCGATGATCCCTCTTCACAGTTTGCATAGACATCTTTCTTAGGAGCCAAATCGGGGTCGTCTGCAGATGTTGTTCCTGATTCTAAGCCCAAACCAACATCAACTTTAGCGCCATCAACATTCATTTGGTGATCATTTTCGCTATCTTTGTTTTCTTTTTCCTGATCTGTGTCCACCCTTTCCTGGTCTTTGCTCTCCTGTTCAGGATCTTTACCCAAAAGCAAGAGACCAAGGACCCTAAAGAGGTAGACCCGGCTGAGGCCACCCCCGCCACACTGCCCCCACAGTCCAGTGCTGTTGTCCCATCTCATCACCTGGGCACGCACCTGTACAATCTTCCTGTGGGGTTTCCCAGTGATTTTTGATTGATAGCTTGTCAGGTGATTGATCAATCAAATGAATGTTTAATTGAATAAATGAATAAATAAATGAATGAATGAATGATTGATTGATTAGCTGATTAAAAAATTGATAGACTAAACCTCTGATAAAAATGCTACTTGATGGATCACGCCAATAAAGTATGCCACTTGAATAACTCTCACTCACTTATTTACTCACTCTCTCACTCATTTACTTCTTCACTCAGAAGTGCACTTTCATTCATCCATTCATCTCCTCTCTCACTCATCACTCACTAACTCACTGGCTGGTTGGCTCATACTCAGAAATTGCATGCACTGGTAAACATGAACAAGCTATAAACCATAAAGTCATCATCACATTGAAAATATTTAATTATTATTAAAATAATAATAATAATAATAATGAGAAGGAGGAGGAGGTATTGTTATTATTAATACTATTATTACACTTTAATGTTTATATATGCTTAATTATGTTAGCAACTTGTGTGGTCCAATCATGATGATAATGATTAAAGAGATTCATTCATTGTTTGTTCATTCAGTTTATTCATTCATTCATCCATAATAGCAAGTTTTGGCTGTCATATTCGTCACTTATAAAAACTCAGTTGCACAAAGAACATATATATCATGCAACAAAAAACCAACTAACAAACACATGAGAATGAACTGAATAGGAATGAATAAATGAACGAATTAATGAACGAACGAACGAATGAACGAATTAATGAACGAATAAACGAATGAACTGAACGAATGAACGAATTAATTTACGAATGAATGAACGAATTAATGAACGAACAACGGAACAAATGAATGAATAGATAAACAAAATGAAGTATGAATGATAGTTGATTGAACCAATAAATGAACATAGGTTTGGATAAAGAATGAATGAACGAACCCATGTATAAGTCAATGAGAGAATAAACACTTAAGAGTAGAAAAAAATGAAGGAACCAATAAACAAGCAGATGAATAAAAACAAAGAAATCTCATAAATAACATTTAAATGTTTAAAAAAACTATTCAATCAGAAATTTCTGTACCAAGGGTCTGAGATAAAAATGACTAATGATATATGTGTATCTATGCATGCATGCATACATTCATTCATTCATTCACCTCAATAACCTATAACCAGAGATACCTAAAAAATGCATATGCATGTCTGTGTGGTGTCTTAATTTTAAGTCTAAATGTATTTGTCTACTTTGAAATTACAAAAAAATATATGCTAATAATTAAACAAGGAGATGTGTTTTTTTCCTGAAAAATGAAAAAAACCAGATATGATATTAAATAACTACAAGCAAAATAAATTAATGTGTGTGTTTTTGTGTGTACGCATACAGTGTATGTGTTTTCAGTTGTGTATGTGCAGGAGTGGCATCATTATATATACACACGCGCAAACACATACACAAACATATACACACACACACAAACACACAACTTCTAAACAACTACAAAGTGAGATCAAAGTTTAACCAAAGTCTCACATGCATTAACACTATATATATATATATTATATAGAACACATATATACATTTTATATCTTGATTTGCTAAACAATAAACACATTGTTCAGTAATGTGAAATGAATTGTTGAGAAATTATTAGATTTCTTTTAAAAAAAATTAAGAACTAAAATAAATTTTTCTACTTAAAAACCGTTTAAAATATTTTTTCATAAACCCATTAACAAATTTATTAGTTTAATTAATCAATTAATTAATTAATTAACTATAGCTATACTTAAATATAAGTGTTTGTAACCACAAATTTGAATTGCACAACTTTATGAGTGTATGCATGAAATATAAAATATAGACATGTGTATTAAAATATCTGAATCATCAACATTTTATATCAATTAACTTATGATGTGTGGCTTATTTATAACCCATGTTACACACAGAGAGTTACATTTTAAATGTAATATAAAGTGATTCCAGATGAATTTTCCATAATTTAACACAGTTACAAAAACTTATATTAAATATTTAATAAAATAGTTTATTCTTTTTAATCTATATACAATTCTTAGGAGGTATTTAAAAAAATTTTGAAAAATTGTTGCTAAATATATATATGGGCATTATATCTATTTATTTATTACTCGTGTTCATTTTCCCTAAATTTCATTTTGAAAATTTTAAAATCTTTCTGAGAATCAGAGTGGTGAAATATGTACAGTAAAACTATAACTGTACAATGAAAAATAAACCATGATATTCAACTCTTAAATTCTTAAACTAAATAAATGATAAAATATTTTGGAGAAAGTTCATCAGCTAACTACAAAATATCATAAGTGAATACACAATGTTAATGAATAAACTATTGCAGATGTCATTTTTCAATATAAAATTTAGATGTAATAATCTATCTATTGAGATTTAGTTTTAATATCAAACAGAATAAATACACATTTTTTAAACTAAACTGGTAATCATTTCAATCTTGTATGTGCATGTATGCATGTTGGGTATGCATGTAGAGTACCACTTTGATGTACCTCGCATTACGTGGTGGGTGATCTCTATGTTTTTATGATCATTACTAAAATGATTATTGTAACACTAGTGTAGTGTTCAGCAGGTGGACACGGTTGGTTATCAGTTATCTTTATGAATTTTACTCTGAATCTAAAATCTAAATGTCTTGCTGGTAGTTAATCCAGTGATCAAATAGCATATAAAATTCCGTAATAAAAGAATACTCATTAAGATTAAATTATTATACAATTATAATAAATGATTAATAAGATTAAATTAACTATTATTCTATTTCTCAATCAAATCATCAAAATCAGGTGAGATGAAGTTGCAACTACAAGCAAGTGTGGCATGCCGAATATAGCAAACAACCCCCAGTCGCTACTAATTTAAAATAAATGAGAGCATAAACAAAGCATTCCTCGCAAATGTAACATTTCTGAGAAATTAAAATTACTAAACCGGGAAAAAAAACTAACTGGATTTGATCTCTGGCATGCTCCGGCTGGGCGAGTGATGATTTTGTTGACCAGTCAGTCCCAACGTCTTCTTCATTCATGCTACTTTTGTGACAAACTATTGGTGAAAAATGTCCAAACTACTGTCATCGACCCATTTTAAGGAAATATTAACGAATTAATCATATTTTATTAAAAAATAAAATTAGATCAATCCGATATCGAAATAAATATAGAGAAAGGTTTTTTCTAATTCGGCTAACTTGACCTTAAATTTTCATTTTATTAATGGCGTTGGCCACGCCCACCTGCAGGCAGATCAACCAATGAAAATTTGCGTAGGGGTTTTATTAATTGTCGCATTTTTTGAACCTAATTTCTCATATTCATCTCATAAATTGGGCGAAATCTCAATCAAAAATATCATTTAGAATTAAAAAATATATTTACTTTTCTATTGGGGTTAAACACTACGTACATAACGCCAATCTGATTTAAAATCATTAATTGCTTATTCTTCTGTCAGACACATAGGATTACTAATCGCAGGCATAATATAGATACATGTATGTAAATATATACGAGTGTATATAAATATATATATAGAACAGTTAGATACATCAAATCATCGTATCTATATATATATATATATATATATATATATATATATAGTATATTTTAACTTTATAATACGTGACAACATGATTGTGCCAGTACTTGAACTTCATTCAAGTCGTTAATATCCAATATCCTCATTCAACAAAAAGTTATTTATTACCTGATGTACTTTTTATGTCTCTATATATTTATAACGTTTACAAATTAATATACGTTCAAGATAAAACAGGCTTATAATATTCCATTCAATCATTTGAATGCATTTAAATAAAATGCTCAAATATCAAGCATCTTATTAATAACTACATCATTACATAATAAAAATAGTTAATTACGAATAAATATAAATATTTTACAATATATTATACAAATATATCATCAAATAACTCAAAAATACCCAACCAGAAACTAGTATTCAGCGAAAACCAATGTAAAATGTATTATAAGCAATTTGCTATATTTATACATGCATATATAAAATATATATAGATACATGTATGTAAATATATACGAGTGTATATAAATATATATATAGATATCCATACATAGCCATCCATTCAAATTCCATTCATAAATATAAGTCTACCTATTCAGCTTTGCACTTATGGTTTATTAGTATTATCATCATCATCATTATATTCATTAAAACAAATTTATAATAACAATTAGTATGATTGTTACTATTATTAACGTTGTTGCTGTGGTTTTTATTATTTTAATCAACCCAAACAAAACTCGTACCGCGCCATCCACACCATACACAACTGTTATGAATGAATAAAAAAATCTGACGAATGGACGATTGAGTGAGTAAATAAATGAATGGCTGTACGAATGGATGAAAAAATGAATGAAACGATAAATTGACTGAACACCGGAAACGAACATCAATAATGCCAAAAAAACGTAATTAACATTAGTTTAAATGTTCTCACGTCTTACATAAAGGTAGTATCAATCAATAGACGTTTATTGTAAGTAGTTTACAAAAATAAAGCATACAAAACAAAAATAAAGCATATCTTGAAGGAAAAAAACTGTCAAAAAAATTGCAACTAGTCATAGACGAAAATATCCTACACGAATAAATGTTCGTATGTATATGTGTTTGTATGTGTGATTGTGATTTACACACATAGATATAAATATATATATATAGAGAGAGAGAGATAGAGAAAGAAAGAGATTAATAATAATGTCATTTGTGTAGCGCTCTGTGCATTGCGTCAGAGGCTATTAGGTATCATAAGGTATGCGTTTAGATTAGAGAATCTCATAAGTTGAATAATTGAGTAGTTACAACATCCATGAGTTACAGTTGTGTATGGTGTGGATGGCGCGGTACGAGTTTTGTTTGGGTTGATTAAAATAATAAAAACCACAGCAACAACGTTAATAATAGTAACAATCATACTAATTGTTATTATAAATTGTTATTATAGCAGATTAAATTCTTATATCATTGAAATTGCACTCTCTCACTCACACACACACACACACACACACACACACACACACACACACACACACACACACACACACACACACACACACACACACACACACACACACACACACACACACACACACGTAAGCAACACACATTCATACACGCACACTAACGTATATACACACACATACAATACAATCAATATGATCACGATCAAACACAATCACACATGTGACATATATGCAGTTTGTTATTTGCATGCAATTGTGTTAATTTGCTGACGTGATCAGAAATCACATCAGCAACAACAGCAGGCTGCCTATGAAAAAAATTTCGTCAAGATCCTTCATCCTTCTTTTTAATTTTCCTTCCAACTTTAATCATAAGCCAAAATGGTTAAACTACTCTCTCTCTCTCTCTCTCTCTCACACACACACACACACACACTCATACACAAACAAACACACATACACACAAAATTAATTGTTGTTAAGCATGGTAGAAGTGATACCTTTAATTCACACATTTACAATTCATTTATAAATGGTGGTCTGTCAAATTGATTGATTGATTATATGATTGACTTGTTTAAGAAATGTTTAAGAGAGAGAGAGAGAGAGAGAGAGAGAGAGAGAAAGAGAGAGAAAGAGAGAAGGGAGAGAAAGACTGTTTTTATTTTATCATCACGTAAGCCATCGGAATCACTTTATAAAAACCAAATTAAAACCTAAATGCATTTTTAATTTTAACAACAATAAAAAAAAATTAATGAATACGTAAATAAACAAATAAGTAAATAATAAAATACACACAAAACCGTTCAAATGGCTAAATAATTGATAAAAACCGCTTAAATGGTTAACTAACATTATTATCAAATAAACAACCTAGATCAACAGACTCGTCGGCACGCTGACAATAAAAGTAACAACAACGACAACAATGGTAATAATAACAACAATATAATAATAATAACAATAATAATAACGATAATGATTAACGTTACATCTGAGTAACATTATACACCAATTGGCTACCAATTTCAAAAAGTTCGGAATTTCCATGCGTTATAAATAACTTTGGGGAGTTCCCCATCTCGATTTTGAAGTTGCTATCTTTTGGAATTTCCACAAGGCCTTTCATTGGTTGGTCGATAGTTGGGATCTTCCTAATGTCAAGGTCAGATTCGTAACGGTACAACTTCACGTTGCTAAATGCTTGAAAAGGAAATTATTCCATTGTTTTATTGTATTAGAATATAATCATTTTATATTCTTGTAAAATATTACTTTCAAAATGATTGAACAATTGGAACAATTTCAAAATTTAATTCAAAACGTCATTTCCTCTATAACTCGTTTCAATGAAACTGATGTTACAGGCAAACTATTCTTATTACTACCGTTAAATTTCATAACGAAAGGTTATCCTACTCAATGCACTGTCCTTGGTGGGCTTGCAAATCTTAGCCAATCGCGAGCATGCAGAAGAGCACGAGTCACCTTCATAAAATTCGAAGGTCATTTCAAACAGGCCATTGAATGGCTGGTTGTTGATCAACTTTACAGGAAAGCATGACTGTGGGAGGGGATAATAATAACAATACTAATAAAAAAAATTATTATTGTAATAATTATGATAATTATTATCATAATTTATTCTACAGGCTTAATGATAAATGACAATAAACTCAACGACAAGATATCGTAATTGTAAAGCGGAAAACATAACAAATTAATAATAAAAACCAGAAATGAAAGTGAAAGTGAAAAATTAAAAAGGGAAATTTTCGATTTTCCAACCTCAGTTCTGTAGGTGATGAATGGCTTTCCAGGAGAGCACTCATCTTTAACTTTGTCATCAGCGCTATCGGTAGTTCGAATGTCAAGGCCTTTCAACTTCATGAATATGCAAATTATTCAAATTAACCACTGAATATTATCAACAACACAAGAAAGCTCTCGTGAACCATAATATCTTTATATCATTATTTTAAACAGCTAAATAGTTGAGTGGTTAGATAAAGCACCTCTAGTGTGTTGATGAGATAGTTGATGTTTTCTTTAAGGACGTCTACCTCATCAAAATCCAAGGTCAAGTTCAAGGCCTTTGCTCCTTGGGTTTGAACATTCTCCTGTGTAAATATATACTTACATACATATACATATTATATACGTATCTATCTATCTATCTATCTATCTATCTATCTATCTATCCATCCATCCATCCATCCATCCATCCATCCATCCATCCATCCATCCATCCATCCATCCATCCATCCATCCATCCATCCATCCATCCATCCATCCATCCATCCATCCATCCATCCATCCATCTATCAATCGATCTATCTATCTCACAATCAATCAAACAACCAACCTTGACGAGGACGACAAATGGCATGATCTTCTTTGAGAACTTCTTCAGAAGGTCTTCCTTCATCAACTCCTGAGACACTAATTTGTTATCTGGAAACTCACCTGATTTCTAATTGTTGCCGTTGTCAATCAATCAATCAATCAATCAATCAATCAATCAATCAATCAATCAATCAATCAATCAATCAATCAATCAATCAATCAATCAATCAATCAATCAATCAATCAATCAATTAATCAATCAATCAATCAATCAATCAATCAACCAACCAACCAACCAACCAATAAACCATTCATCTAATCATTTAAAAAACGAACCTCATAGAGTGACTTGAGCTTGGTGAGAACGAGATTCTGCCATGGTGGATAACTCTTGGCAACCCATATTGTGGCGTGGGTGGGTTTGGAAACTTGCAGCTGCTGTTGCTGCTGCTGTTGCTGCTGCTGTTGCTGCTGCTTTGAAGGAGTCTGGTGAGGTAACGACGAACGACACGATATAAATACTTGCCATCCAGTTAAATGACCAACCAACCAAACCAACAACAGACCAACCAACCAACCGATCAACCAACCACCCAGCTAGCAATTCAACCGACTACCTTTTTGGCATGCTGTTGTAGATAGGCCTTCATCCGGATCCTGAACTCGTGGGCAGCATCGACGAGGTATTGAGAGGATCTGATCAGAACTTCATCGACAGCCTCACTCGTCGCCGGCCACAGTGCATTCACTACGTAACCCTCCTAATTAGTGATGTAATTAAAATTGGAAATGTAATGAGGATGTAATTGGGGATGTAATTAAGATTAGAAATGTAATGAGGATGTAATTGGAGATGTAATTAAAAATAGAAATGTAATGAGGATGTAATTGGAGATGTAATTAAAATTAGAAATGTAATGAGGATGTAATTGGGGATGTAATACGGATTCGGATAGATGGGCGAAAAACGATGGGTAGCTTAATAATAAATCACACGACACACACACACACAGCAAACAAACGCACACAAACACACACACACACACACACACATACAAACAAGCAACACACCTACCCTTCCAATTAATCTCCAGATATATTCACAGAGGTGGGGGCAGATTGGTGAAAAGATGATAGCCTGCCTCTCAATAAACAGAAACACAAGATCCTCCCTCATCTGCTGGCTTTCCATCTCCCTGTATTTGTCTCTTAGAGCCTTTTTTGAAGAAAAAAAACAAATATAAAATTATCAATTTTATTTAAAATAAATTAAATAATCTGAACTATCTTCACTCGAGCGCTAAGTTATAAACATTTAATTTAAATGAATGTGTTAGCGTGTGTGGGCGTGTATGTATGTGCGTGTATGTGTGTGCGTGTTACACTTCCTACCTCTAAACCAACTAATCATACTACACTTAGAACGGAGCAAACGATGTGTTGTGATAACAATAAAAAAAAAATAAAAGAATGAAATTAGTAGAAACTTGAAATTCAAAGAAACCAGTCCTCAGTGCTTCCTTGAACATCATCTTCTCATAATTTAACTTTGTCTTGTTTATCGCGTTCTCCATATCGCTGCAATCGTTTGGTTAATTTTTATTTACTTTATTTATATACACACACACACGCACGCAAGCATGCACACACACACAGAAACACAGAAACACACACACAGGCACACACACACACACAAACACACAGAGAGGCAAGATTACCACCACTAACCAAATAAAAACTCTATCGCAAAAGGTGTCGCCATCTTTCCTGAGTGACGCGCGCTGATCCAACATCTCCTTGGTCCACTCCAAGAAGGTGTACAGCCTCAAAATGCCGGCGTCTGCCATAGCCTCAACGAAATTCGCATCTTCAACACTGTCCCCGGCATCGGCCAATGAAAGACGCATTCCTATACAGTGATGGAGAACAGGATGATTAGGAAGATGACGATGATGATGTAGTGATGACGATGATGACTGTGATGATGATGTGATGATGACGATGTGATGATGACGATGATGATGGTGATGTATTGATACGATGATGATGGTGGTGACGTAATAATATGGTGAAGAACGCTAAATTACGAACCATCAGCTGAAAACTTGTTGACAGCTTGTGACAACGTTAAGAAATTACCAGTGGACTTTGACATCTGTAAAATATTACAGCGCAATTTAAATAATATTTAATCACATTATTCGAATAACAGCATTATTAATGTTATTATAAGCGAGTGGGGTGCAACTAAAAACCAACTTTTTCTGAATTCAACAGCAGATGACCATTTGCTCTGATAGCCTGAGGCCATCTTGATCTACAATGAAAAAAAGACAATTCTAAGCAATATTGTTTGAAAATTTTTCCAAAAATCTGGAAGGTTAAATCTAAATATTTTATTCATCATTTTCATTGTGCAGATATTGTAAATAACTTGTAAAATAATTCGCAAGACACACATAGATTACAGATTCTCTCTCTCTCTCTCTCTCTCTCACGCACACACACACACACACACACACACATACAAACAACACACAAATGGCCAACTTGTCATTAGGCCACATAGCCACATGACTATACAAATAGTAAGTGAGATGGTTTGGGACCAAATCTTTGCCAGATGTTCTCAGATCAACTGGATACCAATACTGAAATTCCCGCTTCAATTTCAGAAGTAAATCTTTGGGGATTTCCGATTTTTTAGGAATGGGCGCTTCTTTGAAGAAAATATAATCCCAGACTTCTAAAGTCATCTGCTCAGGTCTGCATAGAATATAAATTTGTCGAATGAATCTTATGCAATCTCTATTAAATTAGGCATCAATTCATCACACCATAAAACAACGTACATAACTATTTAACATACAAAAACAAGCAAGCAGGCAAACAAATAAATAAGTAAGCAAGCAAAGAAAGAAATGAGCAAACAAACAAACTTGATATTGAATGGCTGCAGAGAACCATCGAGCGAGCCAGCATGCAAAATGTGACAGACAGTATAATAAGCCATGTAGATTGTTGAATCAGAGAGAGATTCTATCAGATATTGCGAGTCCCAGGGAATCTTTGTTCCTTCATTTCACCATCATGGTGACGATGGTGGCGGTGAAAATGATGATTATGAAAAAATGATGACGATGATGGTGACTGATGATAGTGACGATAGAGCTAATAATCGCAGTAAAGTTTCAACAACCAAGACAGTAACAACAAAGATATGGATGGCAATAACAAGGATAACAATGATCATTATGAAGAAGGTCTAGGGCGATAATATAAATGGTGTCAATCAATTTCAACAAAATACCAAGACTAACCTAATCCATATGACCTAGAACAAGCATGTTCGTGCAGCCAGTCGAACGAGGCCTCAAAGTTCTTGCGTACCTCCTCGCTGAACAACTCAACATCCTTCAAGTGCTCGAGCACCTGATGTTTCCATGACTCCTCCCCATACTTTAGGTACCTGGACAATTAAAAGTAAATTGAGATTAAAATTGTTATAACATACATTGAGATCATTGTAATTAGTAAATTAATTGAGATTAAAATTGTAAATTGAGATTAAAATTGTTGTAACGTTTCAAAAAATTTGAAAAATCAGTTTGAGAAATAACGTTTCAAAAATTAAAAAACCATAAACAACACAAAAGCCAGCAACAAAACAAAATTTCTAATCAACATCTGGACACCTAAATCAATTGCTAGTCAGAATGACGTAATAATAAAAATAAAACAACAACTATAATAATAATAAAACAATAATAACAATAATAATAATAATTAGTACTAGCCACTGATCGCAAAGGGCAACAACACACTCATCAGCTGATCTTGAGATGACCAATTTTTCCGGCTCCATGTATATCATTGCCTCTTTCTGTATCAATTATCATTAGGTAAAATAATATAATTAATATTATTCCACTATAATTATTAATAAACATAATTATATCATAAAATCTTATTTATATTACTTATATACACAGATTATTAGTGTATAAATCTCTGAAATTAACTAAGTGCTGATACAGAATTAAATATTTGCAATAAATTATATAATAATTATGACATAGAAATAATTATAATTATATTAAAATTTAGACCACCTTTTCTATCATAATCCTTTGAATTAGTTTCTTGACTTCTTGCACTGGCTTGCCTCTGTGCTCGCCAATGACCATCGTCTGGTACAAATTAAAAATTACATCCAACAATAACAATAATAATAATAACAACAACAATAATAATAATAACAACAATAATAATAATAAATAATAATAACGGTAGTAGGGAAAAAAATTATACAGCCAGATAGGCACCATCAAATGAGACTGTTGTAATAAAAGAGAGTAAAATAGACAGATGAATAAAATCAAACTATATATATATATATATATATATATATATATATATATAATATGAATAAATAAGTTAAAGTATAATAATAATAATTATTATTATTATTTATTTTTATTATTATTACATGTTTACCCCTTCGTAGAATCCTTTCAGATAGACTTTTTCCTTAGCTTCTGCTAACTTTTCCCGGTCATTTTGGCTCTGAATTTTGAGGTCATCGCATGCTTTTTGGGCCGACAATCGACCATACCCTGGCACATCTATAATCTCGACCTATCAGTGTATTTATATTATTTTTATTATTATTATAATCATATTTTATTATTATTATATATTATGCTAATTATATTATCGTGTGGTATATTTAGCATGTTTTCATCATTGTCATCATCTTCTTTATCATCATTCTTATCATCATCATCATCAACGTCATCGCTTACTGGTTGAAAAGGCAAGACCATTTCATCCTTTATACAATATTTTTCCCTCAGTGCCTTAAAATGCGTTAATTAATTAATTAATTAAATGTTTAACTAAATTAACAATTATTGGATAGATAATAATGATGAATGACGCGATGGTGTAATGGTAAAGTGCCTGGTACAGTTATTGCAGTGAACAACTACATGCAGTGCGTGCGTGTGATGAATTGATTCACATGCATTTACATGCACTGTGTGCTTGCTGCTGCTGATGCATCAGGAAAATATCGAAGAGAGAATTGTAATGAATGAATGAATAAATAAATGAAAATTAAATGTTACAATTATAATTACTATAATAATAATAATAATTTATTCTAATACTTTTTTATTTTTCAGATCTCTGAGAGCCGCGTAATCATCTGGTGAGTCGCTCGGAACGCTCGTCACTATGCCAGATCCTGAATTACGTTAGTGCACGTGTGTGTGTGTCTATGTTTGTGTGTGTAGTGTGTGTGTATATATATGTGTGCGTGTATGTGTATGTGTTGTGGGCGAGTGCGTGTGTGTAACCTTTTTCTTCTTTAATAGTCAGCATGGGCAGTGCATAAATGGCGCTGTAAACAGAGAGTGGCGACTTCAATTTTAGACCCATCAACGTCTGTCCAGCAGGTTTCCAGAGGGGAGAATTTAAATTTTTTGAAGTGGTTGGACGGAAAATAACGAATAGAACAAATGGAATGAAATTAAAAATTGAAAAAGTTCAACCGGAAAATTATATATAAATTATAAAAAGCAGCAATTAAACCAACCAACCAACAAAACAACTTGGATGTGTATAAAAACTAGCAAAATGTGATAAACAACAAAAATCAACACCACAAACGAACGAACGAACAAACGAACGAACGAACAAACAACAACCTACCTCGCCAACTAGTTCAGCCAACGCTTCGAACTTTCCATTCTCCTCTGTGAACCCCTTGTAAAAAAAAAATGAAAATGAAAAAATTTCGTTAAAATGTTTCAACATTGAGATTATGTTTAACCAGTAAATATAATAATAACATTATATAACAACAATATGCAAAATACAAACTACAAACAAACTAACAAACAAACACACAAACAAACAAACACACACACTCACAAACAAACACAAACAAACCTGATAACACATATTCTTCGCCGCCCTCCTTGTACAAATGAACACATCTCCACTACAGACCTTGAATGCCACATACTTTATAGTAGGGTGGATCCAACAGTTCGTCTGTCCGTACATTGTCTCTGGTCTCAGTGTTGCTGCAACGAGGTAGATGCAACCGCCACTGCCACTGCTTTTTAAACCAGAGACAATTTTCCTAAGGGTAAGGTAAATAAGTTATAATGGTAGTGTCTAAACCAAAAAAATTTACTGAGATGCTAACAAATTTGTTTTTTCTAACCGGACCAACTATATTCAACTGGTTCTTCGTGTACAAATCAACTTTTCAATTTAATTTTATGAGATTTTTAAATTTTATTTTTCTTAATTTTTCAAATTTTATGAGATAATTTCTTCAAAGCACGATCTTTCCATTGAATTCATTCTCGAAATTATTGTGCTTACATTCAGAAATAAATTATAATTTATAATTATCAAGCACCAAACCCCCACTAAGCGTTAATAAATAGAAGGATTATAGTACTGACTTGAGAGCATCAGACAAAGGTTCAAGAACTTTCATCTTGATCAGGGTATATTCTTGCGGTCCAACACCCTATCATAGTTATTATTATTATTACTACCCTTATTATCGTAATAATTTTTTTACTATTTTTAAATTTATTTTTAATGCTAGTACTAATGCCCTCATCGTCATCATTTCATTTCATCACTACTAGTGTAGCAGCTATCACCGTTCATAATGTTATAGACTTTATCATCATAATCATCATCACCATCTTCATCATCATCGTCATCACCATCATCATCATAATCATCGTTAGCACTACCACCACCATCATCATCATCGTCGTCGTCTTCATCATCACCGTCATCATCATCATTATGATAACCTCTCCAGTGCTTCTATCGTGATCCATGCATGGTTGGTTGTCTTTAGGGGAGAAGATAGTGTACCTGATTATTAACGTGATAATGTTTATCTGATGATGGTGATGTTGTTATTTACTCAAATTATCATAATCGCAATGATCGCCCTATCTCTTTTTTTCTCTTTCTCTATCTCTCTCTCTATACACACACCACACACACACACACGCCACACACACACACAGACCTCTTTCCAAATTGCAGTCTATCTCTCTCCTTCAGTCTTATATACTGCCACCTAACAAACGAGTCGTAGAATGGATTAGCTTCTGTGGTTATGAACGATCTTCGCCAGTCAATCTATAACATAGTTAATTAATATTCTTTTATTTGTTAATATATAGCCTTATATACTTTATACAAGCTTATATATGCTATATATGTGCTGTATATATGCTATATATGTGCTGTATATGAGTGCCTTTGCAGCATTTCAAAATTTGTAGCTCTCTGCAATGTTCTTAAATTTTTTAAGAATTAAGGATTGGATTGAATGACTTGTCATCAGTTATCATTTAAGAAGTTTCTCCTTTTGTGTGTGTGTGTGTGCGTGTGTGTGTGTGTGTGCGGCGTGTGTGTGTGTGTGTGCGGCGTGTGTGTGTGTGCGGCGTGTGTGTGTGTGGTGTGTCTGTGAGTGAGAGAGCATGTAATAACAAATAATAATGGAAATAATAATAATGAACAAGAAAACGACCTTTAGACCAAGAGATTTGAGGTCTTTGATAGCCAGCGGCGGGAAATACTGCATCCAGTATGAAGGGTCTGAAAAATTCCGAATCTCATCGTCAGACAGGCCCAGTGACTTCATAATTTGCCATTGGTACTTCAGTCCTTCTGTCTTTGCCGCCAGTTTACTCTGGTTTTTTTTTAATTTTTAAAATTTTAGTTTTATTGTGTTATGTTTATTTAGTTATTAAATTATTTAAATTAATTTTTAATTTCATTTTGTTACGTTTATTTATTTATTAATTTATTTAAATTAGTTTTATTTAATTGTTCATTTGGTTAATAAATTTGAATTTGCTTAAATAGATAAGCACACCACTACTATAAATTTAATTCAAAATTATTCTTACTGATCAGCAATTCAACAATTGTCTTTTTTGAAAAAGTCCCAAATTAAAAATAATAAAAATAACTGAAATTTAAAAATAAAGTGAAGATGTTACATCAACCTTTTTTCCTTTGCTTGGATCCTTGATGACAATTTCATCATTAATTTCAGCTGTAGCATTCTCAACAACTGTTGGAAAAGATGGAGGAAAGCCAAAATCTTTAATCTCCATTTTTAACTTGTCCGCACAGGCCTTTAGTTTTTTGTCAAATGAAAAATTTATAATTAAATTTGTATAATTAAATTAATAAAATTTATAATTAAAAATGGTAAAATAAATTTTATATTACATAGAAGATATATTATTAAATAAAACATATATTATTTAACACAGATATTAAAACAAAAAAAAAATAAATATAAACCTTGATTGGCATTCCAGTGCAGTGAAAACCAAATGGAAACAGACATCTCTTGTTTAGCAATCTTTGAAAACTAACTGCAAACTAGAAAAAAGTTTTTATGTTAATCTTGCAACTAAAAATTGATAAGATTTTAAAAAGAAAGATAACTAACTTCACACTTTGAGAGAGAGAATGTATGTCCCAGATGTAGCTTTCCATTCATGTAAGGATATGGAAATGTCACCATGTACTTGCTCTTTCTAAATATTTCAATAAAATTTAGTTAGAGAATCTACTAAAACTAAACTAACTAAAATTACTAAATGCTTGTTAAAATCATGAAACAAACAGGAATCACTAACCTGGCCTCCTCTGAGCCTTCCTCCGGAGCATCAGACTCGAAAACTCCATCTCTGTACCACAATTCCTGCATCTGCCTCTCGATCTCCAACAGATCATTCAACTTGGCCGTCCCTTTTCTTTGGCTTGCCATATCGATCGTTCGTTCTGCTCATCAAATTACTTCAAAAATTAAAAAAATAGTCTAATCAAAAACTGATAAATATGTAAATAAAACCAGTTAAAATAAACTGTGTGAATGATGCAATTTTATTCAATATTTAACTTTTAAAAAATGTTTACCTAAACACACGTTGGCTCAGTGTATGCCGGCATACGAAGAAAGACGCGCTGAGGCAATCGAAATAGCTAAAAATATAGGAAGGTACCTTATGGTACTTCTTTGAGGTTTGCTTGCCTGACGTCAGGTTCACATATAACAGCAAATATACATATCTTCATATATTTATACTGTTCTACAATGTTCTCTAATGCTAAATTAACGAGCAAATGATTTTTGCTTCAAGTTGTTTAAATTGTATTAACGTTTTTAACTTTCTTATTTATGAATAAAGAGAAAAAAGGCCGTTAAAGTCAAGAAATATTCGCAAAGAAATAAGATGAGTAAAAAATGCTTTCTCTATCAGAAGCAAAATTGAAATATTTCAGTTATCTTCCTTAGAAAAGGAAGTTTTCGAGTAAACATTGAGGAGTTTGATTAACGCAGACATGCCTGCGTGTATGTGCGTGTGCCTGTCTGTATAAACGAAGCGAGTGAGCAAAACTTTTTCATATAAACATTGAGGGTTGAATTTTGCGATAGGAGATAAAAATGTTTCAGCAAGATCTAATAATTACCGAATATAACTAATTAGGTTGGTTGGCGAGTGATGGGAAAGAATTTTACGATGAATTTATCCATTTATTCATCCATCATTTACTCGTTCTTTTGCTTGTCTTGTTCTTCCATTCAGCCATCCATTCAATCATTCATTCATTCATATCCTCAATCACTTTTTCACTCATTCATTCATATCCTCACTCATTTGTTCACCAACAACATCATTAGATCCATCAGCATGAACATCACTCAGAGTATCATACTTCACACAGATGACCCTGCTGTATGTATTGTGTACCTGCGTCTATATAATTTTGCTTGCGCGAGTGCATGTGATTCAATCATGCACACACATGCGCACATGCGCACACAAGCACACATCATTAATAATAACAACAAATTTATAAAAGTTAACAACAACAATAACAATAAAAATAAAAAAATATGAAAAACATACATTGGGAAAAAACAGGCAAAGCTAAGCAAGAGAGTTGTGCATACTGTATATGTGGGAATACCATAACATAACCTAATCTAATACCTATGCGTAAAAGTTGGAGGAGCATAAACAAACAACTTTTCCAACTTCATTACACACACACTCTCTCTCTCTATCTTTCTCCATTTCTCTCTTTATTTCTCTAACTTTTTTCTTACTTTTTCTCCTTCTTGTTCTCTCTCTTCCTCTCTCTCCCGCCTGGTTTTCTTTTTGTTTTTTCTCTCTTTCACTTAACATTACATCATATCTGTGCACATGTATTTTTGTATGATACGTGTAGGTGCTACTCTACTCTTCCATCCATCCATCCATCCATACATTCATTTCTGTGATGCACTTACAATTACTTGTGTACATGATATTTGTATAACGTGAACTTTATGTTCACAACATGCCTATATACCCCCAACTGTTCAACAGAACATTGCGCTATATAAATAAGTTATCTCTATGTTTCATCTCGTACAACTTTAAGTTGCACATGCATGTACACATAGACGGTTGTACACTTTACCATACAACTTACTACATTTTTGTGTACGTCTAGTTTGTATTCCAAGATTTGTGCTTGTTTGTTTGTGTTTGTGTGTGTGTGTGTGCCGTACAGAGGTGTATTCTTGTAAGTGCATGTGTTTGTTCATGTATATCTAAGTGTGTGTGTATACCAATATATATACATTTTTTCTACATCACTATGGGCGTTCAACTCATTTTTGTGTTTATACGTGTGTCTGTATGTATATTATACATACATACATACATATATATATATATATATATATATATATATATATATATATATGACGGTGATGATGACAACGTTGTTGTTGTGGATATATTTAAATGTAGTAGCGAGATTCTTTCCACAAGTTCTTCCATCAACAGCTCCTCCGAGGTTCATCATCGTCATCATCATCATCGTCATCGTCATCATCATCATTATTGTTTTGATCATCATCATCATCGTCGTTTTATTCGTTATTGGTGTAAGTGGTGATGATGATAATGTCATGATATAGATAGATGATTGTTGTATCAGCTAATGCTAGTAGTCCAGTTGCTTCTTTAGAATATTAAAATTAAGATATCTGTTAAGATATCCATTAATATAAATATAAATATACATATATATTATATAAATATATATATATATTATATATATACATTATATATATATATATATATAATTTGTGACGTTTTATTTAATAACTGCCCATTTATTGTATAATTGCTTACAAATATTTAATCTCATTAATTAACTTTCGAAGTTTGGATTAATTAAAATCTCAGATAGCTGACCAGTGCAGTACCATCCGTCCGCCAGCCAATAAAATCAACTGGCCAAACAACCAAGCGGTCAACCCACTAACCAATCGGGAAATCAATCAAGTAATTCAACAACCAATCAGCGGCGAGGATGTCATTTAACAGGTCGTCATCGGTCTTAAGAACCAGTATAAATTCGAGCGGGGGCGGAAGTGTGATGCTATTGGACGAGGGACCCGTCGTACCCCAAAAAAGTTACAACGTCTTCAGGGGCATGTCTCCCACTACTGCTAACAGAATTGAAGTTAGTGTTTTGGGAGATGATTAGTCGTGTGCTCATTGGCTGATTTTTGTTGGATGGATGAATGAAGGAATGATTGAGTGATTTTATTGAATGACTGATTGTCTAAACAGAACATAATTCCAAATAAAAGTGATCTTCTAAAAAAACATCTGCTTTCATGACGAATTTCACATGACTTATTGCTGTCATCTTTATTGTGTAGGCGCAATAAATGTCTAGAAAATCTTCAAACTCTTGCGATTTTATGAAATTAACCGTTGCAAAACAAGTTTTCAAGTATAAAACAACATGAAATAATGAATAATTACTTCATGTTTTACTCCCCAGCACACACACACACCACACACACACACCACACATAAACACATACACACACACACAAATATGCACATTCACACAGAATCGCATCAAAGAGTTGGAAGATGCTTTGGAGACGGAAAGGGAAATACATCTCAGAGTTTGTTGTTGTGGTTGTTTGTTGTTGGTGTGAAAAAAATGTGCGAAAAATAATGTATATCAAAAATTTTTTATGTGGTTGATTAAATGTACGTTATTATTTTCTGGAAACTTTTGATTATGACGGAAAAATTTGTTAACTTTAAAATAGACTTGTGAACAATGAACGTTTTATATTTTTTATGTCAATTAGAAAATTTTTCTTAAATTTTTTTATTTTTTTCACGTTACATGCTAAACAATTTTAAACATACATCTCGGAAAGTTTTTAGACGCCCGTTCTTGATCAAGATATATATAGTTTTAATATATTATATTTATCAAAATATCTATCTAGTAGTTGACGACCAAAAACAGCCTAAATATGCTAGGATCTTGATCTTTTTATCAATCCAAACACAATAACAATACAATATTCTCCATACTGGTTGTCTGAATTATGCAACCCTTGTTAAAAAAAACAACTCATATGCTTCTTATTCCTTACAGCTGAGCTCTAACAAACACCGTTTAAAAAATTTGCTAGTAAAACACAAAACAAAAATCCTCTCATAAATTATTATCACCGAAATCATTTATACATATTTTTACATACATATTTATATGGGTGAAGTACCGTACAACGAGGCAGCACAATGAGATACATGAACTTACATTGAAAACAAATAAACCAAATGAGTATTCTTTATCGAGGATAATATTTTCCGCTAGGGGAGCAGATAAATATACACGTAAACAGTTATAAATTATAGAATTACAACCGTGTATTGTATATATTTGTATAATACGAAACAAGTTACCTAATTATTTTTACACTAGCAGCCCGTGCAGTGAAATTAATTTTAAAATTCAAGCATACTTTGAATTCAAGTGAAATGTGTCTCCAGACAAACATACACAAGTGAGTCATTCTAATGATTATAAAGCAGGCTATTATCCGAAAATATTAAAATGTTGTACGTGACTTCACCATTAATTACAGGAAAAAAATGTTCAAGCAACACGAAACATTGACACATGTGTCTGGCTTTTGATATTAAATGACTTTCTATCTTTAATTAATTAATGAAAGAACTAATTGAATTAATTAATTGATTAATTAATTAATTCACAATGATGTACAATCGCACGTTCTTACAGAGTGAACGTGATTTGGCCGAAGCAAATGCTCAGTTGCTGGCAATGAATGAGAGGATTGATGAGTCCGAGAATCAACTCATCATCGAGGTGTGTGTGTTTGTGCGTGTATGTGTTTGTGCGTGTATGTGTTTGTGCGTGTGTGTGTGTGTGCATTTATTGAGTTGTTAACATGATAACTGTTTAATATTTTTTAGTATTATTATTTCAACATTATTTCAGGAGTTAAGAATTTGTTGATTTTGTGTATTACATTTAATGGATTTTTGTGAGAATGTTTCATGTATCAATGAACATTTCACAGATTTTTTCAAAGATTTTCCTAAATTTTTTAGCTTTCTACCTCATTCTCTTTTTAATTTTTATTTCAAATTGTGTATATTTTTTAAAAAACTGTAAAAGAAACCACCACCTTCTTCCTCCTCCAGATTGACAACGGCAAAAAGAAAGACCAGGAACTAGCGAAGGTACGCAAGGAGCTCGAGCTGTTGAGTTTGCAACACGAAAGTGAACTCGCCAACCACAAAAAGAGGCAGCAGGAACTTCTCAACGAACTCAACGAACAACTCGAGAAGTTGAGCAAAGCCAAATCAAAGTATCGTACGAGCGCGCAAAACTAAATTAACAAAACCAGCGTTATTTTAATTTGTGTTAATATTTTAATGACATAGAGAAGAAACAGTAAGGTTACCTTGAACAACTTTGCACTCCCACACAGGTCAGAGAAAGACAAGCAGCAAATAACAATTGAGATTGAAGCTCTGAGCAGCACTCTAGACGGTGTCACCAAAGCAAAGGTAAAGCATTTTTCACACAGAACAAATTAACATGTAAACGAACGCACATTAATGGACATAAAATTATAAATTTTTAGAAATCATAAACTAAGTATTTGACATCAACTTCATCGTCGATGTTACATCTCTTTAGAATCACGCCGAATCGAAATTGGAAGCCTCGGAAGATCAGTTGAGGAAGTATCGGGCCCAAGTTGAAGACTTGAACAGAATGCTTGGGGAACTGAGAGCCGATCGAGATAAGTTGAGCCACGACAATGCGGACCTTCAAAAGCAGTTGAGAGACCTAGAGATGAATTCAGGATCGTACCAGAAAAGTAGAGCTCAACTGCAGAACCAACTCGATGATGTGAAATCGCAACTCGAGGAGCAAACGAGGGTTCGTTACATTTGAAGACATTTTAAGGAAGTTGTCGCTAAAAAATAATTATTATTACAACATTCGTCGCAATGAAACGTTTAAACATCTGTAGTGTATCATTATCTATAAACTTTCACGTTCGTAATTAAATGTAATTTTATTTGAAGAACTACCATCAGTTGGAAGTTCAGTTGGGCAGTTTGCAACTAGACTACGATAAAATTCTAGGACAATTGGAGGAAGAAGCCGATGCAGCCAACACGTTGAGGCCACAGAATCAAAAATTGCTGGCTGATCTGGCTCACTTGAAAGGGAAATATGACAAGGATGTCCTGGCCAGAACTGAAGAGTTTGAAGATATGAAGTAATTTTTGTTCCATTTTCAACATTTTTCTAGATACATTTGCACATCTTAGACAAAAAATTAGTTATAAAAAAAACTCAATAAAATAAATAATGGTTTTTCATTGAATAGAAAAAGATTGAACGTGAGGATCAGTGAACTGGAGACATTCCTGGAGCAAGCAAACAGCAAGTCAGCAAAACTCGACAAAGATAAGAACAAACTCACCATTGAGATCAGAGATATTTCGATGCAACTCGATGAGGTACAACTAGCAAACACAAAACCGACCAAATAAGCAAAAATAAAAATTGGATTAACATTCGATCAATATTTAAATTTAACAGGCAAATGCCATTGCTAACGACAGTTTGAAAAGATTGAAGCAAGCTGAATTCCAGGCAGCCGACTGGCAAAAGAGATTCGACGAGGTCAGTTTGGAGTTCAACGCAAACAAATCAGATGCTGACAGAAACGCTCACGAGGTAGCTCGCTTGAAAGCTCTGGTTGATGAACAACAAGCTAAAATCGATCAGCTGGCACGAGAAGTTAGCAAACTAACAGGTAGAATACAAATTACTTTTTCGATTTATCATCTTCTTGGCAAAATCACAGTCACTAAAATCACCATATTATTTTCAAGATGCATTGAGAGAATCAGAACTTTCGAACAAAGATCTCTCTCGCAACTTGCAGGAAGCGAATTCCATCCGAGCCACATTGCAGAACGAACGCGATAGTTTATTAACTGAACTGTCCGATGCCAAGGAGACAATCAGAGATTTGGAAAACAAACTTGACTCAATGAACGCACAGTACACCTCCCTCAAATTAGATTTAGACGCCAAATTGCGACAGAGGGATGAAGAACTCGAATTACAACGGTAACAATAAAATATTTTGAAAATAGAACATTTCAATCAAAAACGTGATTTGCTATAATTGAAATGATGAATCAAATGACGAATCAGCCGCAACGGACAGAGATCTACGGAAGAGTTGCAACGAACAATTGTTGAACTCGAAACTCGTTTCAAGAACGAGAATGGTCGCCTCAAGAAGAAACACGAGGGTGAGCAGCACGAACTCTACCTCGAAATCGAGGGCCTCAACTTCAACAACGGCGAACTGGCCAAAAATAATAAAAGTTTAACCGTTAGAATAAAGGTTTGCGCATTTTGTTTCACGATGTTTTTATTTGCGTTCAACGGTTAAATTAGGAAACATAAACATTTAAGGAATTAGAACAAGCGTTAGAAACTGAACGCCATGGAGCTCAGAGTGCAAAAGATGCTGTGAATGTTTTGGAAAGAAAAGTCATCGTCTTAAATACCGAGCTGGATGATCTAAGAGCTCTCCTTGAAGCAGTCAGTTTAAAATTTTGTATGTTTATTTGTTTTCATGAATTTGTGTTTATCAAAAAAGTACAAATACTTTTGAAAACAGGCAGAGAGAGCTCGCAAGGCCGCAGAAAATGAATTGTCCGAATCGTCGTCGAACAGCCAGCAGATCAACATCACCATTTCAAACCTCACTAATGAGAAGAGGAGATTGGAGACGGAATATCAGGTTTGTTTGACCGAAATTTTATAACAAATGTTTGTTGCTTAAACGAAATTTTATATATTAAATTAACAAAACAGGCATTAGAACGTGAATACGACGATTCTCAAACGGCTCGTCGCATCGCAGAGGATAAGTTAGACGGGCTGACAATGGAGGTGAGCAGATTGAACGAAGTGTTGAGGAATGAAAGGGAAAGAGCCAATGCCGCTGAATCCTCAAAGAAACAATTGGAACATCACATTCAAGAGCTTACGTTAAAACTGGATAACGCAGATTTCACAAAAGACGGCAGAAGAACAATCGACAAACTCAAGAACAGGGTCTGTTTGACTTGTATTTATATGCTAAAATTCAAAACTCGTCTTTATCTTTACTTACTTTATTCTTTTCTACTTTTTATGAAGGTTCAAGAATTAGAAGTTGAACTAGACTTGGAGCAACGCAGAACAAAAGATTACGGACTCGAAATAAGGAAATATCAGAAGCAGGCGCAAGATTTCAAGATTCAATTCGAAGATGCACAAAGATTGAACGGGGACCTGCAGGAACAGAACAGCATCATACTTGCGAAGCTGAACATGCTGAAGAAACAAATCGAAGAACAGGTTAGTTTCTTACATGCTCGCACGAAACATTAGTTTATGCTGTGTTAAAGATTGTAATTGTAAGATTCTAATAAAAACATAGCTTTTCGGCATCAACGTGAGTACTATCTTTGGCGAAAGTTAATATTCAAACCAATTTGGCATAGCCTTTAAAAAGTGCGAGCTTATAGTATATTTTACGATTTAGAGATAGATAAATTAGATTAAGCGGAACGTTTTTTTAACTTAATTCTATGAATTGTTCATTCTGCACAGGATGAAGTGTTGAGCATCACGATGGGCAAGTATCGCAAGGTGCAAGCACAGCTTGAAGAGGCGGAGAGGAGAGCTGACCGCGCAGCTGAGAACAACGTTTCGGTGATTCGACAGCAGACGACAGTGCCGTTGAGACTGGGAAGTGTCGGTCCTGCAACTTCATTTAGAAGCGTTTCCGTCGCCAGGAATTTGAAATACTAAATTGCTTCCCGCTAACCAAAAAATATCTACTTAAATTGAGAAGTCATCAACTCATTTTGATAGTAGTGAATTTTAAAAAAATTATATTTTTATTAATTAAATGTTTAAAATATTTTTTACATGTAGCGTAGAATGAAATTTTTGATATGTAATGCGGCGTTAAAATGGCTTGATTGAAGTGTCAATTACAGATAATGAATTGTTTTAAACTTTTATTTTGATAAATTGAAAATAAAACGAATTTTAGTCATCTCATAAGAACGTAAGAATCAGGCAGTTCTGTCATATTGTCGTTGTTAACTGAATCAGCATTGAGATCAGTTGATTTTGGTTTAAAAATTTGAAGCGATTTCTCTGAAGTTGAATGATTTTGATCCAGATCGGACAAATCTTTGAACTCAGTTATGACCATCTTTGAGTAGTTTGAATTTTCAGCAGACAGCTTGGTTTCAGTTGAATTTTTTTTCTCAATTAACTCCAATGTCCACTTCAGATCAACCTCCCACAACTCCTCATCAGTTGGATTCAAGTGCAATGCTCTTTTGAAACTACTAAGTGCCTGAAAAATTATTTCAACGGATTATACAAACAATGTTTATTTCTAAAATTATTCTCTTAAATATAAAAATTTAATGAAAATGAAATGTGACTGCTGGGTGTTAAAAAACATCTACTTAACATAGATAAAAAAAAAATGTTAGGTGAAGAATAAAATTGTTAGCTAACCATCTTAACTTCTCCAATATTCAGCAATGTTCTTCCAAGTGTTTGATGGCCAACCCACCATGATGGGTTCAGTTTGACAGTTTTTTCAGCTGCATTCACAGCTGGCATCAGTTCATTCAATTGCATGTACGACTGTTTGTTTCATTTTTGTTTTATATTTTGAGTATTTTATAATATTAGTTGATGAATGTTTCATTAATGATGTGCAAGCAGAATAAACATGGAATTACTATTTGCTTCATATTAATCTGAATAAAAAAAACTGATTAGGACTTTGATCTTAAATTTTGATCTAATCTAATCCTAATGATAATGCATATAATGGGATGATTAATGTTGAAACAAGCAAAAGAATGAAAAAAACCTGAGAAATGAGATCATAAATAACTTCATTATTAGGTGTGAGAGTGGCAGCCTCATTGAATTTTTTTAATGCTTCCCAGTACCTTAAATTTAAAAATGAATTTAGAATCCCTAATTGAAAATAAACATCGGAATGCCAAATAAGAACCTTTCATTTTCAGCTAAGATGGTGCCTTCATGTTTTAATCGTTCACTTTTCGTGTAGGCATCTTCAAGTTTAGGAATTTTATTATTCCTTGGTGCCAATGTTAACCAGTCGACGTCTGCTTCTGTGATTTCGTCATTGATGTCACTTGTTTCCTCAAATTTTTCAATTAATTCTTTGTTGATCTTATCGTTTAATTTACGTTTCCAGAAGGTCATTATGATATTTATATAATCAAATTATTTTTATGAGAAAAACATTTAAAAAATTCTTATTAATATAAAAACTAGTTATCTCAAAAAGTTTTCCTGTGAAAACCCATTTAATTTAAATAATTTGATAACCTCTTTTAAAAAAGGAACAAAAATAAATAAATAACACAACACATTTACTAAAAACAAATCAAACAATTTTACTAAAATTAAAACGAACGTTCAAAGCTCTTTAAAACACGAAATCTGAAATCGAAGTGCAAATGTTTCACGACATAAATTCACTTTTGAAATTTAATTAAAATTAAACCCACAGAAAACATAAATACAACCATTGAGTATATGGGTTAGACAATTATTATTATATATATATATATATATTCATATATATTAATTTGTTTATATATATATATATATATATATATATATAGAAAATTATGTGAGCTCTCTCTGCATTCAAACCAGGTCAAAAAAAACACAGGACTCTGAGTTCTAACTACTGAATAATTAAAGCTGACCTATGACGATTATAAAATAATCTTATTCATCTTGATGGAATGGTGGAATGAAATATTGGACGTTTAACCATCATAACATCAGCGGCAATCTCGAGATTGATGGGCAACAGTCGCATCTTCCCTGATGACATATTCCAGCTGTAATCCTATTAGTATAACTAAAAGTATGAGCATATATATATATATATATACATATATATATATATATATATATATATATATATATAATAAAAAATACCCATGTCTGATGATGTCTTTATATATTGCATAAGTAATCATTGAGCAATATTTCAGGACTAGAACATTTACTACAAAAAAATGAAAAAAAATTAAATTCTATTGTATTAAACATATTAAACATTTTAAGTAATTAACAAAGTAATAGGTTCGTTTTAACAAAAGATTGTTTTAGGAAAATATATTTAGATATAAAAAAGCATTATCTGGTGCTTTGATGTTGAAACAGGCCACATTACCCTTGAGAATATTCTAATTGCTTTTCAATTAACGGCTCTGGCATATAAAAGAGAAGGATAGCGTAGAACAAGAAGCATTTATTATCGTAACACTAGCGTATTTTTTATATATCATTCATAATTTCGTTATATTAATATTAAATATTGCAAATAATTAGCAAAATGTTGCGTTCGAAAGTGTTTCTGATTAATATTGTATTCATTTTAAGTAATAAAATTTGTTGTACGCATGAACGAGTAACTAATGAGAATAACGTCGAATTTATGGTTAATTTGGTTCGTATAAAAAATAACATTCACGAAGAACAATACAGGAATGATGCTAGTTTAAATTCAACGTTGAAGAAACTCGCGGATTCAAATAAGATCGAACAATTTAAATTTCAGGGTTAGTTAGTATAACGTTCTAAATTTCTTCAACGTAACGTTCAATATACTTTCTGATTTAAATTAAATTTTAATAATTTATTTCTAACCTTAATGGCCGCTAAATTTCAAATGTGATTGAACAATTTAAGTTTCATGGTTAGTAACATTCAAAATCTTTATTAATATAAATTTTAAATTCAATTAAATTCTAATATATTTCCTACTTTAATGACCGCTGGATTTTTCATTAAGATTGTTGGAACCGAAACGGAAAAAAGCTAAATTACATTAAAGTGGAACTGCCCCATCAAGAGAGTCACACTAAAGTTTTACACAGCGATATTGTCATTGAAATCTATGAACCGAACATCCAAACGAACACCGTCAACATTTATTTGAATAAATTCATTTTAAAATATCAGAACTCATCGAAGAAGAAAAAGTTTCTAATCAACAAACACGTCTCAAGGCAAGAGGTGAAGAGCGAGAACTGTATGAAAATTCATTCAAGTAAAGACATTTGCTGGATGATATTCGACGCGGATAAATTCTTAAAAAAATGGTTTGAAATTCACAAAGTTTATGAAAATTGGTTGATAAAAGTTGTAGCCATATTCAAAGTTGAAACTATCGCAAAGAATATACTAAACAAAAATTTAAAGCCACACCAACAAATGCCGTTCATGCTGTTGTACTTGTCAGCCAGTCCCAACAACGACAGCTCTCTCTACGGCAAACTTACCGATGAAAATATCGAAACGATGCAACAACATTTGTCGAAATTGAGACAAACAAGACACACCTGGGAAAACAATAACAAACATTACAATCATAAACTTAAGAAAGAAAATCACCACCACAATTACGCACCTCAACGCAAGCGAAGAATTAACGACGAAGCTGGTCACTGGTTGGTTGCTCATTGTTCTTGAAAATCATCAAAGTTGATTATTATTTATACACTAGTAGTTATAATCTTTTTAAATTTTTTCAAACAATGACATTAAATTCAGTCAGATATTTTTATAATTATAAAATGACCATTCATTGAACACGTTTCAAAGGTGCAAACGGAAACCGCTGTTCATCAACTTTTCTGATTTCGAGTGGGATTGGATCATCGCTCCCACCACGTACAAAGCCTTCTACTGCAGCGGCAAGTGTCCTTCACCTTTGCACAGCCAAATGAATGCCACCAATCACGCGGTCATGCAAATGAAGGTGCACGATCTGAACCCTGCCGTACCCAGGCCTTGCTGCGTACCGACAGAAATGAGTTCCCTGTCCTTATTCTACTACGACGAGATGGGAACAGTGTTAAAAGATTATAAGAACATGATCGTCGAAGCTTGTGGATGCAGATGAAAGATATTTTTAGAATAATTAAACCATATCTATAAACAGCCAGACACAATTTTGTTACTCGGTTGCTTTTAGGTTAACAAAAACAACATTATCGTTATTTAAGGAACAATATTAAGCTTAACAACAGTTTATATACAAGATGAAAGTGTCTCGAACATGATTTATTTATCTATTTTAATTGCATTCTTAATGATAAATCTTAAAAAGTGTTTTAATGACTATCATAGTAGCTCTCTTTGATGCCTCTCATATAAATGTGCAATGTAATATCCACACCACACTTTTATGTAATGCTACTCAAACCATGGTGTTTAAATGTCACGCTGTGTTATAATAATCATTTCATATATGCTTGAATTAGGTATATATGCTTATATATATATAAATAAACATATATATATATAAATAAACATATATATATATATATATATATATATATATATATATATATATATATATATATATATATATATATATATATATTTCGTCAATTTTTTTATGCAAAAATGATTTTACTATCAGTATTTAAAATGTACCAACGTTAAATTGGGGCGATAGATGCAATTACACTCATAATACTTAATACATACACCATGTATTCTACACATGCCTACGATGAACTATGAATATTTTTTGGAAGGAAAATGCGCTTTAGTTTAAGATACAAGTCTCCTTTTAGTCGATTTATAAACAAGTTTTTTAAGTTTAACAAAAATCTTTTTAAGTAATTAACGGACTTGTTTTGAGTTTAGCCGTCGGATTAGTGTGATTACATATGCTTCGAACATTCGCAACAAGATTCAACGCGAACATGCAGTCGTCATTCATGTGCACAACGTCAAAATTAAATCTTAAAAACGTCGTTCACGATTATTGAAAAACAACACTTTCTACTTGAAACTCAATGGTAAAGTTTGACTTTGACTCATTTTATTTATTATTTTGTATTAGTAATAGAAGCATTTCTAACGGCAAAAACATTTCAACTGCTGACAGACAACGAAAAAGCGGTTTTGAACTATAGAGAGAACAATGACACCATCGACTTTCATCATACATATGTGCCTTCCAAGTTCAGAGGGCATGGCATCGGAAAATATTTAGCACAAGTAAATATTTTATTCATTTAATTGTTCATTTATCAGTTTTACTCAATTAAGTTTTGTCTGTTTGAAAGGCCGGAATAAACTACGCCGTCGAGAAGAATTATTCTAACATACTGCTTAGTTGTTCATACATGGATCATTACGTCAGAACGAATTGTGGGGAAAACATTACGTCAAAATGCTTGAATTTCTAACTGAATTATAAATTTTTAATTTAAATTTTCTAAATTATTGATCTGATTATTTGTAAAATAAAATTTTCCAACAGTTACTTTGTTATTATAAATTCGTGTAATTTTTGTGATAAGATGACGAATAAGTTGTTGGAAGCCGGCGTTTGTAATCTTGGTTAACCTTACGTGTAGTGCGTGCACATGTTTGTGTATGTGTATGTATATTTTCATGTGTAGCATGTCTACATATATGCACATACATACGCATTTATTAACACCGATGAACATACAACGCATATGTGTTGTATTATATATAATGATGAAACGGTTGCTGCATGCACTAAACCTCATGCCTCGTATGCCTCATACTGATAACAATATGGTGATCATATTGTAAAGCAATGTATGTTGTTGCTATGTTAAGCAGAAACAAAACTTTCGACGGTAAAAGCGTTTCAGTGCGTTGGATTTCTACTGCTTCTTATTTTAGGGAATTTTCAAAATAAAATTTTCGAATTGACGAAAAATATATTGATTGGTTGATGAGATAAACCAAACAAAGGTATGTTTTAATCGCGTTGTGAAATGAGTTTTATTTTACATTACTAACTATTTTGCAGAATAAACCACGGATACATTATATGTACGATGGAAAAATATCCACCGGACAGTTATTACCTGAAACGTATGAAAGTAATTTTGGATGGCTATCCCCAACATAGTCCACCAATTCATCCAACGAAACTTACCGACCAGCTGTACATCGGCAACCAGGATAACGCCGACGATGTCATCTTGTTGCAAGGTTTGGAGATAACACACGTTTTAAACTGCGCCGGTACAAGGAATTTCGATTTAACTCGTTCACCATACCCGTTAAGTTCCGGTATAACAAACTTTCTAATGATTCCAGCGCAGGATTATGACGAATTCGATATAATGCAGTTTTTCGAGGACGCCATAGGTTTCTTGGATTCAGCAACGTTGTCGGGCGGTCGTGCGTTCGTTCATTGTAGTATCGGAGTGAATCGTAGTGGGGCCATTGTCGCCGCTTACATGATGATCAGTCAGAAGAAACGATTGCTAGATGTTATTGTTGAATTAAAAGCCAAACGTTTGCTTATATTATGCAATATGGGATTCAGAAAACAGCTGGTTCAATTCGCGAGATTAAATGATTTGCTGGATATCGTCAGTGAGAGCGTCGAAGGCACCAACAAGAGTTCAACTGCAGCGAGTGATAATCAGAAATCAACGGAAGCCACAGATGGTGCTGTTCATAATACCGATTCAACAAAGAAAGTCGCAAATGAATCTAAAAATTCTGACGAAGTAAAAAAATACGAAGTAATTGATTACAGGCCCGTGCTTAACACCGCTTATGTCGAAAAACAATTAGTTCAAAAACCTAAGCAAGTTGAACCAGAGAAAAATTACTTACCACAGGATTTTCTTTCAACGAATTATAAATACAAAACTACAAAATCTTTCAATCCAATTACAGCCTCGACTTTTAAAAATATTAGAAATGTTGATCCGAACGTAATTGTAAGTGCACTTAATGAAAGCTACGATAAATACAAAAGTGCGAACACGCCTAAAGAGTTACAACCAACCAACATATCGACGAAACTTTTTGAGGACAGACATCGAATTTCAAATAAACCTAACAATGATGATATTCTCACAAAATTTGTTACATCTAAACCTATTGCAGCAAGTACTCCATATAAAGAATCGCCCGCCCGTTCAACAAAAACAGTTGACACCAACATTCTTCTACCCTATCGACAAAATCTGAACTACAAAATGAAGTCAGTTGATAGAGAGCTAGCAAATGAAGTTAAAGATTTTTTGGATACAGAAAATTCACTTAAAACTAACGATAGGGAGCTTGGAAATCTGTTGGACTCTTTAATAAGCAAGGAAGACGAAAATATCATATGGGGCAAAGGTTCTGCGGAGAAAGATCCAAAATTTGTGAATCTTCAAAACAAATTGGACGTGCTGCGCTCGGTTTTCTCAGACGAGCAATCCATAAATCCCAAATCTGCACTACTGACGAAGCAATTGAAAAACCTCCAACACAAACAGTTCGTTAATGAAATTCATCATCTAACTGAAAATGTACCGACCAGAAAAGTTTCATCAGCTGTCCCGAGAATAAAATCTCCGAAAGTAGCCGCACCAAACGAAACTAATTCTCCATCTCCAGTGAAATCTCATTCAACGGTCATCAAGAAACACAACTACGAATTAGACGAAGAAATAAACAGTTACATGAACAGCCCTCCAAAATCTAGATCCACAGTTCACACAAGCAGTAAGAAAGTGGTCTTGACAAACAAGAGACCCACAAAAGAAAACAACATGGATGATGATGTGCTGGACAGAGTGCCTTCAACCTTCAAAACGAGATCTGACATCAAACCAATGTCTTATTATAGGTTCCAAGTGATGTCGGAAAAGAACAAGGATGATCGCGCCAAAGACGATGATGAAGAAGACGACGACGTCTACACTTCAACAACCACCAGCACTTCATCACTTCTCAATAAAAGACGGTCCAGTCCACTGAAAAATGGCGACTACACGAAATCGTATCATTCAGCTATTTCTAACATCAACCTGAAACAGCCGACATTTAAAAGCAGATTCCTGAAGAGCAGTTTCAAATGAACATAAACCTTTGTTGGCGAACGTTTTTCTCTGAGTATTCAACTAGCATTGTAAATATTTTGTTAACTACAAATTTAGCATTCGTTTACTTTATTACCAGTTAGGCTAATCATTTTTTTCGCCAAATAAAATGTAAAATAACTTTACACAAGAAAATATTAAAAAAAAAATTGATGTGTAAATAATTATCATTAATAAAATTCAAAAATCATTTTCAAAGAGATAAAAAACGTAATAAATCAGAGCAACCGTCATCTGAGTTTGATTCGTTTATATGTTTGTGATCTCTTGTATTACTCTCACGTCGAGTGTTTCTGCCGAAATTCTCTTTGTTAGCATCATCAGGTTGATTATGTCTGACGCCATTCTGATGTATGACGTCACCGCACTCCAAAACTTTTTCTTCCCCCTCCTCCTCATCATAAAAATTATCATCCTCATCTTCCTCATCACTTCCCCATCTTTGCATTCCAGCAATTCTTTTCTGGAAAGAGACACGAATTTTTGATCAAAGCCCTTTCTTTTATATGTTAGATTGTTCGTTGAATCAATCTTTCTGCTGAACATTCTTTCATTTTCATAGAGGTAACATCCATCTTTAATCATTTGTATTAAAATATTTGCAATGTTCCTCGAGTCGCAGATGCCAGAATGTTGCCTGCCTTCGAAGGGTATTGAAAAACTTTCGAGCATGATGTTGATCGAAGCCTTCGGCTGCTCATAGGCATTACAAAATGATTTCCTAATGTTTACCCACTTGCGAGTCCATTGTGGCAGCTGGATCCTACTGTGCATACATTGCTGGTACATGAATCTGCTCATGTCCCACGGCCTGTAGGTAGAAATAAAAAACAGAAACAATCAGCAAAACTGTAAAAAATATTAAAATATACATACTATAGATGATGATTTTTAACAAGTCAAAACAAAATTAAATCGTAAAATTACTGAAAAATAATGATACTCTGAAATTTAAAAAAAAATTGTCATTACCCATCAGTGACCACTGCAAATTTATTATCTTTGGAACCAAGGCTACGTTTCCTAAGCCAATCTTCAAAGCTGTTCAAAACTTCTACAAAAACGGGGGCTTTGTCTACTGTATCCTGCAAATTATAAAAATAATGTTAAAAATTATATAGAATATATATAATATAATTATAATCAAACGAGCAAATAAATAAATAAGTAAATAAATAAATAGAAGATAGGGTTAACCTGCGTTATGCCAGTTAGCTCTGTGCAGAATGGAGTTAGTTTTTTGTTTATCACGGGCTTCACATACGAATGAAATTCGTCAACCTGAAAAAAGAAGTTATTTTTTAAATTTATATATGGACAGTCAGGCAGAATGGTTCAACAGTTTAAAATAGATGAGATATTAGAAAAAAGTAAAAACTCTTACAATTTTTTGTTCAGAAATATTCACTAAGACGGCAGGAAACTCGATAATTTCGTGCTTATAACAGGTTACGTTATCATCACAGGTAGCTTCAAAATCAATGACTAGAAAATAATCATATAAGGCCTGGCCTGGATTAAATTTTAAATTTATATTTCCATTCAAACTTGCTAGCAATTTTCTCTTGTGGTAGGATTTCAATCTTCTTTTAAGGACACTTTTAACACCTCTGAAGATTATTATTTATTAATTTCAAACAACATTAATTAAATAAAGTTTGAGAAAATGAAAAATAAAAAATGTTTTTCACTCTTATTCAATTTTTATTGATACCTTCTATACTTTGTTGTGAGTGTGTTAAAAACTAAATAGACTGTCTAATATGTTTGCAATTTCACAAAAACTATGATTTAATAAAATTTTAAATACTGAAATATATATTGTGATGTGAGTTACAAATTAAATCTAGTCTCAGTCTATTTTAGAGACGAGAGCATTTGCTCATCTTCTTAAATTCTTATCTTAGTCTTCTTTGTACTTTGTAGCCTTTGTATTTGTTTGTTTTGTACTACTAATCAAAAAAATCTTAAATAAATAAAAATAAAATGGTACTCTAAAATCTAACTAAATATTGCAGAAAAGGTTTTACCAGAAAATGACATAAACTTACTTGGTGTTTAAATGTAGAACTTTTAACTGTTCAACTAGCTTATCCTTCGTCAAATCGTTCACTTCTCCATTCAGTCGAGATAATTTTTTTCCGATGGCGACATCATCGACATCTTTTTTCGCCCGTGCTTCCGACATAATTTGATTTTTTTTTGAGTAAACGCGATTTCGATAGAAAAAAAAAAAGCTTCAAATCCGACAAATTATAGAAAATATATTGTGTAAACAAACATTAAACGTAATATATTGTGTAATTTTTAAATTAGTATCTGGGCGAAAGAAAACGAAGTTAGCCACAATGTAAACAAACATTAAACGTCAGTGAAGGGGCCGGGCTATTTGACTTCTTTGGCTTATAGAATTGCAAGGGCTTGTTTTAACAAGCTATATGAACTATTTACTTGACATATGTTTAAAACAATGTAATCGAATCGAATTATATGTATTTTCAAACTATTTTTATTAATTTGAATATAAATTGCTTTTGCCTGGTGAAATACAGTGGTTTACTAAGGCCATGTTCGCATCATTGAAGAAAATATGGAAAAGTGGAAATATATCTATAAAAACAAAAACGAAAGAATACACTATATAAATAACAGTTTTCACAATTATAAAAAAATCTAAATTAATGCAGATATTAAAGATGAAATGACGCTTAATTTCATGAATATATCCCATGTTTAATTCACCTGTATGGTTAATAATTATAGAGTTCACTTTTAGTTGATTTTAAATTAAAAGTTTTGATTTCTATAGTAACGAAGAATATCGTTGTCTAAGAAAAATTTATGATGGCAATTTTCGTTTAAATTCGTTAATATTTATAATATTTTTAAAATTTAAATTAAAAAATTATAAACGTTTTGTAAAAAATTATGGATAAAAATATAAGAAAATCGTTTGCAAATTTGAAAAACGATCGTGGTATTCGTTTTTCTTTTTTTCATTCTAAACTAAACTTCTAAAAATCTCTAAAGTCTAAAAAACTTCTTAAAGAAAAAAATTCTAATACAAAACTTTTATAAAAATTGTAATAACAATAATAATAATACATTTGTAAATTATTTCAGACCCCACAAATGTAAGATTAAAAGTTGATGAAGCATACAACCAAATGAAATACTTGTTTGACGGCAGTAATAATGATGGGACTTCTAAAAAAGTTCCTAACCAATTCGGCTCTGATTTATTAGTTCAGTGCGCTGAATTTGCATTGAAGGTCGCTTTATTTTTTGTATATAAAGGTTAATCATAAATTGTAGCAAAACATTGCATAGCATTGTCTGAAATTTAGTAAAATATGATAACATAATATCTTATGATAGGCAAGTTTATGTCTATAATTAAAATAGAATGTTTAGGTTATAGATATTGAAAACTATTTTGTCATAACGTTCTTCGTTATCGTTTTATTGATATTCTTATACCATTGTCTTATATCATTTTTTTTAGACATGTTCATTGGATATAGCAAAGGATTGCCTAAGAATGTACCATAGTTGTTTGCCAGTTGAAGATGTCTGGATGTGTAGAGCCCTCATATGTACCATCCAAATGCTGCCCAGTTTGAATGTTAACTGCTTGGTTTGTTTCTGACTGTTTGAAGTTTTGTCAAACAGTTTATTGATTTTTTTAATTAAATAATTCTATTTTCAATAATGTCATCTATTGTTTTATAAACTTGAAAACTAGGATAGAGCAAACGTTCTTATTGATTCAACTCAAAAAGTTTTAAACATCCAGAAGAAGAGACAAAAGTATAAATTATATTAAATTTACTCAATACTTATGTTCATCTAATTATTTCTTTTTAAAATTAAATACAATAAAATAAATAAAAAAAAATTTTTTATCGGAAATAAATTTGTTTCACAATTGAAACAGAAAAAAAACTTCGAATTTTAGGGCCACTCCTTACGCTTATAACGTATGCATCATGTTCGCGAGATTCTGCCGCCCGCTTCTGATACCTAGCCACATGAAAATGTTAATAAAGTCATTTGAAAATGTCATTTCGTTTCTGGATTCTTATAATGGTTGTGACCTAGCATTTAAATCACTCTGTCGTCAGTAAGAGATTTTCATCTATATTAGCTACGTCTTAATTACTATTAATACGTTTAAATCACTATTACAATCGCCATATCGTTATATTACAAATAATTTATTATTATAATAATAATAATAATTACTATTATTTTTGCGAAAAAAAATTTTTGTATTTTATAACGCATAAATTTATTTTTAAATGAAGCTATCTCCTCTCGTGTTACCTGGATGACAATGAAAATAATAATATTACTGATGATGATGATGATGGTGGTGGTGGTGGTAGTGATAATGGTGGCGAAGGAGGTGGTGGTAGTAATAGTAGTAGTAGTAGTAGAGGTGGTGGTGGTAGTAGTAGTGGTAGAAGTAGTCGTGAGAAGGCGAAGAATGTGATTAAAAAGTGTTCAAGTGACTTGCTGATGTCCGCTTGCTATTTGCAGAAACCATTTCTCGCTTTGATTGTTAGTTCGTTGTGGTTATTATTTTGAAGATGTGATATTATCATATCATGGCACTTATTTCAGGATAACGTTCATATTATTTTATTATTTTAATTATATTTAACTAATTTTAACATTTTATTGACATAATTTATTTTGAATATTTTTGATTTTACTGGTTTTCTCTGAATAATTAAAGAGTTTACATCATCATCATCATCATCATCATCATCATCATCATCATCATCATCATTGTTATTATTATTATCTATCTGATGTGTTCTGGGTACCTGCGAATACGTACGTATATCGTTTGATAAAATTGTATTGAAGTGAATTAATAAATAATTGATTGATTGATAAATTGAATGTTTTATTGGTTGATTGATTAATTGATTGATTGGTCGATGAAATGACTGATTGGTTGGTTGAATGATTGATTTATTGATTGATCGATTGATTGATCGATTGGCAGGTAAAAAATTGCCTGGATCACGTGATTGAAGATATATTTGCATCATTTAGGGAGGCTGATTTATACAGGAGAATATTACGCATTAAAATGTTAGCAGATTTTTCAGTAGATTTTTCTTTTTGCTTCGTTTTACTGAGCTTCGAATGATGTCATCATTGTTGATTGATGTCATTTAAGTTACAGCCTCATGGAATTATACGATAATATATATAATTAGATTAATTATTTTAATATTTTTAATTTGTTTTCTATTATATTTTTCTACATGTTTAGGTCCAATTCAAAGGACGGCCAGTCTGTAAAAGTTGAATTGAATGAAATTTTCAACGATTTGAAACCCTTAACGTTCAAAGAGATTCGATGGAGTGATTATAACGACGATGACAATGAAGAAGGCCATGATGTCAATGATAATATCATTGCTAATAAGTAAGCTACGTGTCGTGCGTGCGTGTGTGTGCATGTTTGCGTGTGTGTGTGTATGTTTGCGTGTGTGTGTATGTTTGCGTGTGTATGTTTGCGTGTGTTTGTGTTTGTTTGTGTGTAATTTTATTCATCCATCATAATAATAGAGGGAAAGAAGTAAACGAGGACTCCACATTATACCCGGTGTCAGATGATGTCATAGGGTCTTTGTCGGCGTTAGTGATCATAATCATAATCGCGTAATGAATTATTGAATGAATGAATGAAGGAAAAAAGATTGAACGAACGAACGAGCAAATGAATGAATGGATGGATATTATTTCTTATAAATTTGTGAATGAATGAGTGATTTAATGAATTATTAGATGAATGAATGAATGAATGAATCAATCAATCAATCAATACAGATACGGATTGATGATTGACTTTTGTATGTTATCTCTACACGCCTACAATAAATATAGTAATAATTATAACAACAACAATATCATCAACAACAACAACGATAAAAAAAATAATAATAGTACTGTTAAAATGAGTAGAAATGATGACGATGCAGGCTGCGGTTACGATGATGAGATCTTTGATTTTGCTCTGAACGCTTATAACGTAGTCCTGAGGTCTTCGCTATATCGAAATGTTAGTCGGTGTGGTTATTATTATTGTTGATGTTGTATGTTTGTTTGTATGTTTGTATGTTTGTTTGTTTGTTTGTTTGTTTTTGTTTGTTTGTGTTGTCGTTTGTTTAAATATAACTGGATTGTATAAATTAAGATTATTTTTGATTATGACTATAACAACAACAAAAATAATGACAACAACAACAACAACAACAACAAAATAATATTAATAATAATGTTATTATTATTATTGTTATTATTATTTTCTAGAGTGTTCACTTCAGAGCGAATGTTGATTTGCTGTGCAGTTTGATAAGTCTGACGAAGTTAGACAAGAGCCTTTGTCTTCTTAAGCCCGTAGCAGTCCAGGTTTGTTATTATTATTATTGTTATTATTATTATTATTATTATTGTTGTTGTTGTTGATGATGTTGGTGTTGTTGTTGCTGTTGATGATGATGATATTGTTGTTGTTGTTATGTAGTTGTATTGAGAGCGTTTGTCTCGTTAACAACACAGAAAAGATTATCTCTCATCACAAAGACTGTTGAGCTGTTACAGATGAATTTTAAAAACAACTACAACAACAACAACAACAACAACAACAACAACAACAACAACATTAATAACAACAATAACAGCAATAACAGCAATAACAACAATAATAACACCAGTAACAAAAACCTGATTCAATATGGTT